TAAATGCCCATAATGCCTTGTAACTTGATTCTGGCCTTTCTTAATTCCTGCCTTGTTTTAGGTTATTTGTGTGTTACAGGTCTTGGTGACTATGCTCTAACTTTTCCACTGGGCTGTCAGAAACCTGAGGTCAGGGCTGCCGCCTCTATTGCTTGTCCGCAGCTCGTCATCCATGTTCATTTTCATGTTGTGTCATCCTTATTGCTCCAGCCTGCATCAACAGTCCCATTTGATGCATGAGATCCAACCTTACAGTGACTTTATATCATCACAGCCTCAGAAACCATGACACAAACCAAGAAATAATCAATGGCATAGTTTTGAATAGTGCAACTAAAATGGATTACCCGCTCCTAAGCACAGAGAAACAATTACAGCTGGAGCTGCTATGCAGGAGAGGGCTGATGTTCAATAAGGTGAAATAGGAAATCTCATGAAGCTACAGAAATTGGTTATCTATTCTTAGCTCCAACCTGGAAGTGACTTTTTCACACAAAGGGATGCAAACCTCATTACTAACCACAGTCCTTAGAAATTCAGCTTCTGGCCCCCAAGCTGCTCATCCTTACAAAGGGAATGCAGCAGTCTAATCCATCTCTTCTTAGAGCCACAAAACTCAGAAATCTTATGACCCATAGGCAGCATGTTGGAGAAGTATCGAAGGGAAACAAGGTCTTCTAAAAAGTACATCTGATGGACTCAGAGCCAGTGACAGCACAGCCAGAAAGAGCATTTTCTTCTCATCAGCTTAAGTATACCTCAAAGCACATGTCATTCAGGGCTGTAGAGACAATGTCTCTCAGACTTTATTCCAGCTTCTTTCCCCTACAGTATTTGGAAGATTTACAAGGGACCCAGAAAGTTGGGGCAAGTCCTTATTTCTCTAATGACTTCCTCTGTCATATTTAAGATTTATGTCCACCTGATCCCTTGAAGTCTGACTGCTCAAAGCAGAGAGCCCATGCCCATCCTGCTCAGGTGCTCCAGTGACCTTTACCTCAGAAGTCTTGCCCGTCCCAGAGCTCTGCTGGGAGCAGGGCATGGGTCCCAACTGCTCTCCAGATTAAACAGCCTCCAGACCTTCTTAATAACTGGGATGTCCCTGCTCTCACCTTGTCCTTGAGACGCTCCCTCTGCATCTCTCTTCTCCAGAACACCCAACACCATTTCTGTGACGAGCTCAAGATTTTAAAACACGTTTGAAGAGTTTTGGACCTCAAGCAGCTTCTTCTCTCCGCCTTGCAAAAGTTTCCAAGGTAAAGAAATAAGAACAACCTTGTTTCCCGTCTGAAACAGAGAAGGAGGAGAAAAAATTGGAAAACTCACACCAGTTGATACATCAGTCCTTTATTCTGCCATAAATAAAGACTGTGTAATAAAGGCAAGAGCAAGATGCAGATATCCCAGGGCAGGTGGGAGCTTTTCAGATAAGAGCAACATGAGACAGGCGGAAAAGAAACCAGCTTGGACCAGAGCTAGTCTAGTAAAAAGTTATCTCCAAGTTCCTTAGGGAGGAGGGAAAAGAGAAAAGGGCAGAATCTGCTATATATCTTTCCTTTGCAGCTTGCAGTCTATACAGAAGAACAATGAGCGGTGGTTCAATTCATTCTCCACAATACATTTACCATCTTCATAAAACCCAAGGTACAGAATCCTTTCTAAAAGTGTTAGAAACAGACATAGGTCTGGACGATGCACACTTGAACACCAGAGTCCAAATAAGTGGACAAAACCAAACAAGCAATGCCCCCTAAGAGGACTGGCTTAACCCCAGATTATTTCCATCTCTATGTGCATAATATGAAAAATCACAGTTTTTGAAAGGGGATCCAGGTGTCTGGGTGAGACTTTTGCATGACATAGACAATTTGAAAAATATCAGATGCATTTATCCAATTTATCACGCTACTCAGTTACTAAGGAAATGGATTCTGGAAGTCGGCCAGCCGTGCTTAACCTAAAGATTTGTGCTTTCCAAAAAGGAGTGAAGATAAACCTAGTTTATCTTTCCCATCTCAGACACAACCTACACAGGCAAAAGTTTTCGAGCCATAATATACTGTTCCCCAAGCTTCTTTTTCATTTTCCCTAACTGTTGGGCAAACGGTCCTGGATGAAACAACCAAAGAATCTTAAACAGGTGTGGTAAACAGGCAAACAATCAGTCTGCACACACGTGGGGAAATAATGTATAACTTTTTATTATGCAAGTAATCATGTAATGCTTGTTTGTTGTTAAACCAAAAAACCTAGAAGTTATATGGGTAAGCCAATAGTAGAAATTAAGAATTGCCTATTATCCTACCACCCAGTAATAACCACTATTAACATCTTGGTATAAATTTTTCCAGACTTTTTTTCATATGTACACATAAGTAGACTATATATCTAATTTTTACAAGATTAGGGTCATTGTACATGCTATTCTGTAACCTATTTTTTCATTTAGGAATATACTTTTATGTAAACAAGTTTCTATTTAATCATTTTAATACTGACAGAGCACTCCATTGTACCATAATTTATTAGAAAATGTAGGTTACCTCCAGTTTTTTGACATTATAAACAATGCTACAATGAATGAATATACTCTAGACGCATTTCTGGCCAGTCCCTTCGGAGAAATTCTTTAAAAAGGAATTTGAGGTCATGCTGTTCAGATTTCATAGTTGTTTTGATGTACAAAACTGCCCTTCAGAAGAGCTGTTCCAATTTATACTCCCACCTGCATGGTGTGGGTGAGTGTCCAAAGCATTAATCTTAATGCTGTGCAGTAAATGCACTGACAGACCCAACTTCTTACGGCTGTCAGGATCTGAAGCCCTAACAACACATTGTCCATCATTTGCAAAGGAGCATACCTGAGAAACAAAATATGATGATAAGTAATATACATGTGTTCAATCAAAACAAAAATCTTCAGGAGATTCTCATTTGGCAATGAACTCTTAAATCACGTTCTATTTTTAAGTACGTAGTTTAATCTAGTCACCGTGTGAGTCTCAGTTTCTTTATCAACTAGATGTTCTCTAAGGTCCCTTCTGTTCCAAAATATACGGTTCCATGCCACAATGGGAGAGAAAAAGGCCCCGGACCCCTGGCTGGGAACCAAAGGCCCTTCGTGTGGCCCAGCTTCCTCTCTAGCCATCCCTCCACCGGTTCCTGCAGGAGCATCTTCCTGCCCGCTTGCTGTTTCCCAAGGGAGCCAGGTCACTTCTGAATTCTGTGTCTTTGGACACGCTATCCCCTCTACCTTAGAATATCACCCTCCTTTTCTATCTCCTGTGGCAAATTCTTCTCGTCCTTCAAGGTCCAACCCCAATAGCACTTTCTCTGTGAATCTTTTTTAGGATCCCCCCACCAAAGTCAGTCTTTGTTTTTCCCACGTCACCCCGTTTCTGCCCGTCTTGCACTATCATGCGACGATCTTCATATGTCTGTCCCTCCCATGAGACTGTGTGCTCTCTGTATTTCCTGGATTAAGAACTGTGATGTGCATATCCAATGTGCTTTTAATAAGTACTTGATAAATGTGCAAATGAGCGCACAGGTTACAATTCTTCTGAGTCCATCTGTGACATCGCCAAAAACTTCAGAGATTTACTCAAATCTACATCAGCTTGAAGACTGTTATTTTGCACATCTAGGTGTCAGGGTTTCTTCCGGGATTTATCCCAGATCCAGGCTCCTCTCAAGAGTATGCTCTTCCGTCCTTCTTAAGAACAAGCACCTACTACTAGCTCCCATTCTTGGACTGGGAAAGAGAGGGATTAAACCCAGCCCATACACACAGTGCCATAGGACCAGCCAGGGACTCTGACATCCACGCAGAGGGTTCCAGGGAGAGAAGGGAGGTTTGCAGCGATTCTAGTTGAGCAAAGCTGGTCTGGTAAGAGTAATGGGACAGAGTCTTTGCACGCCCTTCCAGCAGCGACTATAGCATGACAGGGAAAATAAATGAGAGGGGATTAAAGGGGGAAATGTATTTCTACTCCTATCAACTGTATCTCACAAGACTCAGGCAAGGGCCCAATGTGAATTGCCCTCAAGCCGTGTGAACATCTGCAGGTACATCAGGTAACGCTTTAGAAGTGCTAACACTGCACACGCAGTTCCCAAGGACACTCCCCTCCTGCTAATTTTCACACAGCAAAACTATGCGGAAATTAGATTCCCAGCTGTTCTTCGATAGATTTGAATCAAAGATCTGTTTCTCTTTTTGCCATGAAACTGTAGCCTCACCAAACGGCCGTGGCCAGAGCGGGGCTGCCACTGAGCCTCGGGGAGCGGCAAACCCTGATGTGGGAAGCTGGCCTTCCAGGAGTTGAGATCCTACCTTCAAAACTGCCCTCGAGGCCTGCAGTGAGATTAGCCCAGAACTCTGAGGCATGAGGTATGACGGTTGAAGGCGAAGCTTCCAGTGTTTGATACCCCAGGCTTGAAATCAGCTCAGCCACTTTCTGTGTGACCCTTGACAAGTTACTTAGCCTTTTTTGAGTTTTTGATACCGCTTTTATAAAATGACTCACTCTCTCACTGTATACGAGTCTCTTCTCAAATGTCTGCTCCTGAGAGAAGCCCTTCTAGACCACTCAAAAATGGTACTTCCTGCCACTCTCCATCCCCTCGGCTAGCGTTAGATGCCTCCTGGCATTTGTTACTCTCTATATTCTGTTAGTATTTGTTCATTGTCCTCCATTAGTAGGGAAGCTCCAAGAAAACAAGGTCTTTGTCTCACTCTAGAAAAGTTGCCGGCACATATTAGGAACTCAGTAAATACTTGCTGAATGCCTGAATGGGAATAGTGATTGTACCCATCATCAGATTGCTATGGGGATTAAACGCACAAAAATTGTTTAGCATAAGGGCTTCCCTGGTGGCGCAGTGGTTGAGAGTCCGCCTGCCGATGCAGGGGACATGGGCTCGTGCCCCGGTCCGGGAAGATCCCACATGCCGCGGAGCGGCTGGGCCCGTGAGCCATGGCCGCTGAGCCTGCGCTCCGCAACGGGAGAGGCCACAGCAGGGAGAGGCCCGCGTACCGCAAAAAAAAAAAAAAGAAAAAAAATTGTTTAACATATCGCTTAGCATATTAGAAGCTCACAGTGTATGATAACTCTAAGTTTTAATAACACTAATAATAAACATTCCATCCCTAGAGTCATTTTTTAAAATCAGTAGTGGCAATATGACTTCATGTAGTCCTGTTTTATATTCTTTAATGAATAACCCAGCTTCTCCCAAAAAAAGGATTTTAGGTAGTTTACAAAAATATGTAAAACTAGCTGTACCAACATAAGTTACATTATTCTGGAATATTTTTACAGTTGTCAATACATTTTTAATGTGTTTTACTTGCTTACTCATGTATTTCACGGCAAACACAATTAACAATCTCATTCTTCTCATACACAACACTTAATGAGACTAGTGATCAAACTTTAGAGAAAGAAGCATTCAGCTGTCCCCAACAAATTGGTCTCTTGCCCCACTGTGTGAGCACCCTTGCTGAGCTGGGCTCATTCTCTGTCCTGCCAGCTTCGCATCTCCATCTGAGGAAAGCAGCTCTTATAAAATACAATAGGTGTCAACGAGTGTTCTGGAATACAGTTTCCCACAATGACAGTATTTAATGGGCTTAATGTATTTAATGACTCTCCACTATGGTGTACTGCAAAGCTCACAGCTGTAACCTGTTTCCTGTTTTTCCCTTTCATTCCCTTTACAGTGTGTAGATCTTTGTGTTCAGTGTTCCCATGTGGTTAGTTCTATAGAGTTTCACTCGTCTGCTCATTTCCATTTATTCTTCTCATCCCGCAGTGGCCTCTGTCCATATGTGTCATCTTGATCTCTGCTTTACTACCACATTTGCCTTTCTTATCAGGCTCCCAGAGTCTTTAGATGCGATTTAGTTCTTTTTTACACTTCTTAAATTATTAGATTAAGCAAATATATGTCAAAAATTCATAAAATTCCTTAATTAAATTAATAAAGGCTCAGATAGGAACCTTTGATTTAACTGATAAATCTTCAGAAATGTGTTTACTTTTTCGTAAACAATTTTGTACCTGGTATTGTCCAAGACAGATGACACGTTGAATATTATATATTGTAGAAATTCTAAGCTTAACTCAAATTAGCTCAATAAAGCCTCAGAAATGCGTATTGTTTATAAATGGACCTAATCTGAATCTTCACTATGATAGTTTATAACAGGCTTGCTTTCTACATGAGCACCAGAAGTTTGCACCAGTTGAAGTGGTCAAGAGAAAACTTCATCTGGCTGAACCTTGGGAAAACACTCTAGCATTAAATATTCAAGAAAGATTCCAGAATAGAAACAAAAACACGAGAAGAAATCACCAAGATGAGGAAATCAGGAAAAGCTAATCAGATAAAGCAAAGGGTAAAATAATTCATAACAAACAGATACCGTATTTTTCTGCGTACTTGCTAAAGTCAAGCCTCAGCCACACATCTGGCTGTAATGGGCAGAGCAAAAAGGAAAACATATTTGCTTATGAGACTCACAAACTGTTCACTCAGGAGAGTCACAGGTCTTCCTAGCAATGAAATCTTAGAAAAAATTTCCCTTGTGGGTCTTAATGGAGGGGATAATGTGTAAGGGAGTGAATTACTTCCTCAGCAAGCCCCTATATTAAATACCATGGAGAATTAAACAGGAGTGCTTCTCACAGCATCCACAGCAGCAGTAAATGTCATTACCCACAAGGCCGCTCACAAAAAGTGGTCCATGAGGAGTCGAGACAGTGGTGTCCCAGGATGCACCTCTCAATTCAGGAATAACTTTTAGAATTTTTTAAAATAATAGACTTATTTGTTCATTCAGTAAATATTTATTGAGTATTTTATGGGTCAGGTACCATGCTGGGCATTAGGGAGGAAGTACTGACAAGACAAACATCGTCCCTTCCTTCAGAGAGTAACATACTTGTTGGAAAGACAGACCAACAACTACAAAACGTTGAGATGTGTGCAAGATGAGAGGACATCCAAACTCTGGATTTTCAGCTCCTTGACCTTCTCATCTCCAGTTGCTTTTTCCTCCACTTTACTACAGCCGATCTAGTCTTATTACCACACACTACCTGGTTATTACTGCATTGAGCACCACCTCCAAATCTGCTTCTGAAAACCCGATCTCTAACTCACACCTCCTCATGATTTTTTAACCTCACTGACATCCCCAAACCATCAGCCATGTTCTCATTACCCACCAGTCAGTCCCCTCTTTTTATTTTCTTTCTTATTCATTTAGATCACATAGTCTATAATTTATAATCACCTCCTTGAAAATTTCCTCTCCTCCTTTATACCTCTCTCGTCTGTCAACACTTGCTTGGAACAAAACATGCCTGATGGAGTCCAGTTTATCCACACTTGCATTTTAAAACTAGAATATTACTGGAGGATAAACACACACACAAAATATAGGTGACCAGTTTCACTTTAAATTCATGATCAAAAACCCGAATAAAACACTCAACACTCCTCTTATGTTTGCCTGGTAAATTAGCTTTTCCAATATCATGAAGATTATTTCATATCATCTACCGTTTGTCTTCTCAAACCTTCCTCAAATATGAATTAAACATGATTTTTAAAATGTTCTTTATCACTAAAAAATAGAAACCATCAGATAAGAATTTAGGTGTCCTCTTCCCCACCTCATCTGTGAATCTATATCCATCTTCTCCATTTCTCTTGTTTCAACGGAGGAAGCAGAGCTTCTCCAACAAAAGCCCTTCTACCCTCTGGAGCTCTGGAACCCTAACCCCAGCACCTTCTCAAGGGTTCCCTTCTTTTTGTTGCATTTTCAATTCGTGCTTGTTTTTGGATCATCCCCATCAATGCACAAACATGCTAAAGAATGTCCCATGGTAAAAACAGACAAACAAAACCCCAATTCCCTCATCCAATATTCCCGTCCAGCTCCTCAATTTCTCTTTCACACACAGTAAAACAAACAAACAAAAACCCTGGGCTTTTTTCCTTCTCATGGTTTATTCCAGCTTTACTTCTACCCATAGGACTCCAGGGAAACTTCCCTCTTAAAATCACCCATGATCTCTCTGCTCTGTGTTTTGTATTTCACCTTAACCTCTAACCAGTCCTCAATGAAAACTGCCCATCTTCCGCTCTGGGAATACCACATTCCTTTGGTTTTCCCTCTTGCCTCAGTGACCCTCTTTCTGAAACTCACCTGCTGGCTCCTCTTCCTCTGCCAGGCTGCACCTCTGAGCTATGCACTCCTATATTCAACTGCCCACTTGACACACAGGTGTTGGAAGGACAGCTGGTGGCGAGAGAGATGATACCCTTGTCAGGAGGCTACTTATAGAAGTCTGGGCAACAGATGATGGTAGCAATGGATATGGAAAGGAGTGTGTTGACCCAAGAGATGTTCAGGAGAAAGAGTTATCTGGACTTGGTGATTGATAGAGTCGGCAGGGGATGGGAGAAGTAGGAATCATGGATGACAACCAGGGCAGTATCTTTCACTAAGATTAAGTTGGAAGGAAAATGGGCTGCATACAATGCAACCTTTAGAAATTTTCCAAAAACCTGCCCATGGTATCAGTGGCATTCATTGCTTCAAGAAAAGGGTACACACAGTCTAAAACAAAGGAGTTATTCCTTTACTTTGAGTTTCAAATTCAACCTGTTTTTTTCTTACCCACAGACGATGACATTTTTGAAAGCCAAGATACGTTGAAGGAGAAAGGCATTTTCTCAAATCTAAAACTCACTGTTCACATATCAAGGGTAAAGTTTGGAGTTCTGAGCATAAAACTCTACCAAGCTATCAGGTAAGCTAGGGCCTGTCACAGGTAGCGTTCTTTGAAGCTGTCATTTAGATGGAGTTTGGGGTATAAGACATTTACTGGGGCTCAGCACCCGTGAGAGGAAAGGGAGGAAGCAGGATTTGGAAGTTATAGAAGTTGAACTTCAAGGCAGGTCCAATGAAGCCTTGGTCCAACCAGTGGGGAGCTCTGAAATGAGCACTGCCTGTCAGAGTGGTCTGCTTGGGACTCAAATGGCTGGGCTTCTACACCCCTGCCTTACTTAGACGTGGGCTGCCCTGGGAACGGTGTGATCTCAGGTGAGGAGACTCTGCAGCTCAGGCAGTCCCTGAAGGGACTAAGCTGGAGGCCATTTGCTGACAGCACCCCCCATGCTGGGGCAACAAGTCCTCCCTTGAGGGGTATCTGGGAGGTACACATCCATGTCTCCTACAGGGAACTTCCGGTTTGGGGAAGAACGGGAAAAAGCGGGAGAGAAGGGCAAGAGGTGAAATATGTGTGCCCTTAGGTTCTAGAAAAAAGTAACATAGTTCTAGTTCTTTGGGAATATCCAGCCAAAGACACAGCAGACTGAGTAGCCCCGCAGTCTGGAGAGCAAGCGTCCTTTTCACAGAGACTTATGCCAACCATGCCTGCAGGTCTTAACAAAGAATGACCACAGTCACAGTACCAACAACAACCCTGGCCTGCATGGGCATGGAGTACAAGCTACTCGTATGACAGTGGTCAATCCTCTTGGTCAACTCCCCTGCTTCTCCTCTAGCTCCACACCCTCCACGACAACAACAGTGGCAGAGCTGTGACCACTTCCACCTCTACTTGCTAAGGAAGGACTTTGACGCACATGAGGTGATGTGTATAGCCTATCCCAGTATGGAGAGAAATACAGAGCACTTACTGGAGTTCCCTCTTTAAGACCAGATTCTCTTATGTTCCGTCCTTATGAGCTCTAGGGCTCTTGAGTTCCAAGCCTAGGGGAGAAACTCTAAGCCCAGCAAATTTGGAAGAATCCCTGATGAATGCCTTTGAACCAATTATTTAGAGTAAAGGAGGCATCCATCTCCCTACATAGGGGTGGCAGCCTTCACAGAGCAGACTAAGGAAAAATGATGATGCTAGCTCAAACCCTGAGGGGGTTTATTATATTAAAGTGAAGAAACTAAAGCTCCTCACTCCAGCACGTTTGAGTCAGGGTCCCCCCTCCTCTTGTCTCACTTGCCACCCCCTCAGAACACCCCAATGAAATAGAGCTAGAAGAGAAAACGACAAAGCCGGGTTGAGGCAGGCCCTTTTCCAGATCACTCATTAAACCACCAAGTACTGAAACACTTCGGAAGGCTTTTCTATCTAAACTCTGAGAACAAAGACAGAGTAAGGCTAGCACAAATGAAGTGGGTGGAACAAGGATCAAAATGCAGGCTAAAAGCAAAATTCCATTTTTTGGTAAATATAGCTAATGAAAATCCCTTATCTATTTATTTTTTCCGCAGCTCATGGCCTGCCCAGTGCATTCAATTTCACTGAGCACTAAACACTCTGCCAAGTTCTGGTGACATAGAACGTGCTCTCATGGAGTTACAGTGCAAAGGGAAAGGGGATGAATATTTATGTCCTATGTCTGTAATCCCACAGCCTAAAAAGCATGTGGTATCATCCCCATTTATTGAGTTTCAAAAAGAATGGAGGAGGGAGCTTTAACCCAGGTTTAGCTAATTCTAAAATTATTTCCACTCTAAAACGTTTTTTATTTTAAATCATATTTGATCTGCAAAACGCGAACCCCCCCATTAGTATTCAGAGAATTGGAATACGCCCTCCAGGAAAAGAAAAAAAAATACAATTTTTGAGAAAACTTTGAAGGCCTTCTAGGAATTCAAAATGTTTTAAATAACTTTCACCGAGTTGGACCCACACAGCAGTGAATAAGACCAATCTGAACTGGGTTGGAAACTGGAAATGTTCAGTCATACTCTCAGCCAGTGCTTGACCCTGGGCTTTTGCTGATAAACCCACTAAGGATGAGGATGTGAGAAAACTGGCAGGTACCTTTGGAATATGTGAACCACTGAGCACACTGCTGCTCACTCACAGCCATGGCTATGGCCCCAGCTAGCAACTTCTATGATGGTTAGAGATAAAAAATGAGGGAGCTCAGTAGGCTGAGTTGAAAGCTCCTTGTCATGAGGATTCCCAGGCTACTCTCTTAGGAAAGCAGCCTGAGGGAGAGCCACTCATGGGCCAGCAGCAACTGAGGGCTCCCTATGACCATGCGCTTACAGGCAACACTCACTGCACCCCAGCTCTCTCAGGCTGTGCTCAACATGGTGACAATCAATCACTCATCTCATTAAGGGGTGCCCATGGGGCTTGACTCTGCCTGTTTAAATAGGAAAAAGCAACGGCAAAGTATGTGCCCTCTTCTGTAGGTATATTATATATTTTAACAAAAAGTTAAAAAATAAAAAGGTAATAATGACAAGCTGGAGTCAGAGCCTGGGACCAGCCTTAGCCACCTGCTTCCTTTCCCTTCCTCTGTCTTCACAGTAGTTGGGGCAGCCTACAAGAACCTTCATTTCAGGGTTGGGGTGCGGATAATAAAAGGCAGGGGCTGACCGCCATTCCTAGCTCTCATTCCATGAAGGAAAGTTGAAATCTCTTTTCAACTGACTGATTTCACAGGGTTCCTCATTGTAGATTTTCCATATTCCCTCCAACAGGAAGTTGGAAAGCTCAACCGTGTTTGGAGCACCAGCAGGTGGAGCTGGAGAGCGGACTGAGCCCCCTTGGTTAGGGGACACTTTAGACAAATGCTTGGGGAACTGCGCAGACAGCACTTGGATGGGACAAAAGGATCAACTTATAGAAGATGCTGTGTATTCTTATCCTGTGGACGTTGTCACGGAAAAATCATTGTGGAATTACTTATTTCATTCATTCATTCATTCATTCATTCATTCAACAATAGTTAGTAGATGCCCATCACATGCCCAACACTGTGTTGAACACTGGAAATGCAGGACGAAATTAGATAGGCACAGTTTCGCCCTCATGGAAATTACATTCTGAAGAACTGGCTTAGCTTAGCAGGTAAGGACGTTCCTGCACCTGAGCATTAGACAGACCTTTGTCTGCGTGCTGGCTCTGACATTTAGTTGGAACTATGTAACCTTAGATCTTAGGCAATTGACTCAATCTATCATCCATAAAACAGGGGTAGAAATATCCATCCCAGTAGTTCTCAACAATCCTAGAATCACCTGGGAAATTTTTTAAAATATCCCTGCCTAAGCCACTCCCTAGATTTTGATTCAATTGATCTGGGTAAGCATCAAATCATCAATAATTTTAAAAGCCACAGATGCTTCTACTGAGCAGCCAGTGAAAACTACTCCTCTATCCTTTAGGGTTAGTGGGAGAGTTACACTGAATAGTGCACATGAATACCGCATGCTTAGTAAACATAACTTTACTGTTAGCTTTGATTCCAAACATAAAAGATGCCAACTCAGCAGAGGTCCACGTATCTGGGAGAAGACTGTGAAGGTGAAGCTGGTCAGTGAGCAAGGAAGAGCTGAAGAAGATGATTTTGACGGTTTTACTCCTCAGAAGAAAAAAACGACTACCAGTCTATACCTTGACCTCAACTCAATAACCATCTCCACACTGATTTTAACAGGTTAGCTTACTTGGCTATTTCAACAGATGACTTGTTCTGGGCTTCTTTATTTATTTTAATTGTCGTTGTGAGTACAAACCACAGTTCAGAGTTTAATAATGTTATCAACATGAAAGAACTCAGGGAATATTGTTCCCATGAACCCTTCCAAAGAATCTACTAGAATATAAGATTTGGGCATCAAAATATCTAGAGAAACATCAACCTAAGAATGCTGGCAAGCATTAAAAATGTAGTTACTTGTAGTACCAAGACTAGATGAGGGTTAAAGGGAGAAAGAATATATTTAATGACTATATGCTCAGGCAATGCAGATAGGCTATAGCTCTTAGAATAGAAAGCGAATGGAAAGAGCATATGCAAAATCTTAAAACTCTTTTCAGCAATTATATGAGTAGTGGTGGTATCAATACCATTATTTTGAGACTCATATATGTAAATAGCACCAGTAAATGAGTAATTATGAAGCACTGGATATTCTATTGTCCCCTAAGTACTGGGACCCTTGAGAACTGGGACCCTTGAATGAGAAGTACCAGTATGAACTCATGATGTATTCTATCAAGAGGTGTGTGTGTGTACGTGTGTGTGTGTGTGTGTGTGTGTGTGTGTCTGTGAGACAGACAGAGAGAGACAATGAGCATGCCTAGCAACCCAGATTCTTAGGTCATGGTCTTGATGTACTTTGCATTTAAAAAAATAAAGAGGCATTTTGGAGAAATGGCTGGTTTGAGGTATAAGATGAGCCTAGAACATCTTTTTATATCAGGTAGTAAGAAAGCTACCAAAACTATTAAGATCATGTCAAAGGCTCTCAGAAGTCAATTTGAAGAGGCTCCCACTGGCTAAAGATGAAACAATTTGAACTTCAGAAAGGATAATAATTACAATTGGAACCCATCAAATGTAGTTAAATACCCTAATTCATAATAATTGTTTAAATAGAATTGGTTATTTGGGAAGGAAAAGAAAGCGCCAAACATCTTGAGAAGTGATAAATAAAGAAGAGTCAAGCATATACATTGTCATTGCTACCTAAACTGAGTACCCCTGGGTACCCGCAAAGTGGATGATAGAAATCACCTTCTTTTTTTTTTTTTTGAAATCACCTTCTTGTAAAATATTCCAAGTAATAAATGAAGAAGAAATTGTAGAATAAGAATGTCATTCTTTTGCAAGCTCTAAAGAATTAACAGATTTAGGTAATGAGCATGAATGGCTGCTAAAATCACCACAAAAGAGAGAAGCAGATACTGTGTGCTTTATGAGGGAAAGACCACACCACCACCTTAGTGGTGCCAAAGGGTAGCCCAGTAGCAGAGCAGATTCTGAGCATGCAGAGCTAGTCTTGCCAAAGGGGCAGTACTGAGTCTGAACAACTTCTGCATCCAGCTGTCCATCAACAAAAATATAGAAAACGGAGGAACACATTGAGCTATATCATAGGACGCAATCAATAAATCAGGACTGTGGGAAACTCTACAGATCAAATGTCCTGGGGTTTTCCAACAGATAAATTATAGGGAAAAGAAAAAGAAGTAGGGGAAACCTATAAACTAAAAGAGACTTAAACGACTTCTTTTACGGCTAAGCTATAGTATCCTTAGCATGCCCCCAATTAGGGATGAGCGATAAACTATTAGAAATATACACACAAGGAGGTGACTGCTATAGAAGCCAGGAGCCTGGTTACTCCCAGAGAAAAGGATAAGTTGGGATTGGAGCACGTGAAAGGATTTCTGGGATGGCTGGCAAACTTTTATTTCTTGACTTGGGGAGTTTATAAGGAAGTCCACCTTATAAAAATAAATAACAACAATAGTAATATAATAACTATACATTTATTTTATGTGGCTTTTTTAATGTTTTATTTTACAATAAAGCTTTTTCAGATTCTTTTGCAAAATGAAGAATAAATGTATAAAGCAAATCTAATTAGCCTCCTAAATTCTCTTTTCTTGGTAAACCTATATTTTATTGGATAGTTTGTTCAGAACAAGTATACTGTGTGTCCTGGGAATGTGTTTTCAAGAATCATTACAGTCTAATCAACCAATGTTTATTAAGTACCTACTATGAGCAAGATTCCACTGGAATTGTTTCACTGTAATTGGCTTATATATTCAGATACTTGCTCTGTTTCCTGGATTAACAACATATATCATATAAGTATTCACTTTCACTGTGGGTTTGAGTTTTCCTGTCATTTTGTTTGTTTATAATGTTTAGTTCTATTAATTGATTGAACTACTGCAGTTTGGAGAGGAAAGTTTCACGAGACACTTCCACTTACACAAAGGTAAGTGGACTCTTCCCTGGGGCTTAGCACTGCTGGCATTGAGGCCAAAGGCCAGTGGTCCAGGGCACCACCTCCTGCAGGTGTCAGCAGCCAGAACTCTGCTTGCTGGGAATCTGCTCTGTTACTGGGCTACACTTTGGTGACTCATCATCCCAGCCTCACAACCACACCACGTATCTGGATAGTCAGTTCCTGGAAATGACGGTTTCAGAGAGGCTTATAATGGGTAGCAATTCCCAGCAAAGCAAAAGAGTGTTTGAGAATTTTTACCAACTCAACATCACAAACTGACTCCTTTCCACCAGAAAAACGCAGTTTCTAAATTTAAAACTTAGCAAGCACATCAATTTTTATGTTTTTTCTGCAAAGGAACCTGAGAGTTGCAAAACTAAAAAATTCCTCTATGGCCAAGAAGCTTCTATCTTAATCAAAAGTAATACATTAATAATAATAATATAGATGATAGACAACAGATAGATAACATTGACCATGGGGCAGAGGCTGTTTTAAGCAGATTGCATGCATTCATTTATGTAATCTTCACACAACCCAAATAGAGGGCACTAAAACCTTCCCATTTTACAGAGAGTGAAACAGAGGAGCAGAGAGGTTAAATAACGTGCCCAAGGTCATATAGGTACTAAACAGCAATGCTAGGACTCAAGCCACGTGGTCTGGCTACAGAGCCTGTGCTATTCGCCACATGTTTCTATACAGCCAGAAGTTCTTAACATCTTGGCAAGCCCAGTAAATGCTAGGGTAGGGAGGATAGTAGTTTATACTTGAACACTCCCTGGCTTGTCCAATTTGCATTTTAGAACCTCTGGCAGAGAGCACAGCTAAGCAATGATCAAATAGCCTCCATCCACTATGACTCTTACTAGTTCTTGAAGCTGCCTACTTCTCTCCATCCCCATTGCCACTGCTCCGGTTCAAGCCACCATTTCTCCACTAATTATTGCAGGAGTCTCCTAATTGGAGAGAGGACGAGAGGCCAAAACAGAAATATAAAAGGGGGACAGCCTAGCCAAAGAATGCACATACACGAGCTCCAGCAAATTCTAGAAGCGAGGGCTGGAGAGAGAGGTGGAAGCAGTTATAAACTCAGGTCCTTAAAAATCTAGAGAGAGTCAAAAGCAGAGCCAGTATGAAGACAATAAATAAAATCACTCTGTAAAGAGCAAGCCGCCTGGATCTGCCCTCGGGGACTGTGGGCCACAGGACTGTCTGCTTCCTCCCTACCTCCTCCAGCCTCTCTGGGGCTTAGGGCTCCTGATCAGAGTAGCTTGGCTGGCTCCAATCACCCTCCCTTGTCCACTGGCCTTGCTTTGATGTGCCCTGGGCAGGGCACTGGGCAGGAAGGAGACTCCTCACATGATCCAGCTTAATCCTCCTCTTCTCCCTTCCCAAGGCTGCACGTTGCAGAAAGACCGCTGCAGCAATGCAGACCAAAGGGGGCCCACGGTGGGCAAGAAGGGCCCTGCTCCTCGGCATCCTCTGGGCTACTGCACACTTGCCTCCCCCAGGTGCCTCCCTGCCCCAACGTCTTCCAAGGGCTACAGGTAGGTGGACGCTGGGGTCAGCTACCCCTGCTGCTGCTGCCACATATGGCTAAACAGACAAAGAGAGGGAAATTCTTACTTGACTCACTTTTGCTTCTGCTTCCTGCTGTATTTGCTCTGAGTTTTAGCATTTGGTAGGCTATCAAACACTTCTGATCCTTCGAATAAGTTCTCAAAGATAGCTCTGAAATCATTCACAGACGTCATGAAGCAGGAGAGTCTTCAGTTTTTATTGCTGGAGACTTCATCATGGAAAAAGAAACCTTTCATCCTAGCAATTCTCTCTGCAACAGTGGATGATTCTTTGTGGGCCTTGGGCTTTGCGGACAACTTGGGCTCTGAAATGGGAAAATGAAATTGTACAGATATTAGGAATCTTTATCTTCAAAAAACAGTTTCTAATTGAGGAGGAAAAGGGGCTCAGAATTCCCTTTTATTAATGAAGCAGACAAGGAAGACTGATTTCGTTATTTCCTCTTTTTAATTCACCTGCTATCATTATCTTATTTCATTTAAAGCACCTCTTTCAGGTCCCAAAGACTAATTTTTTTTTTAAGGATCTACAATTACATCATATTCAAAACTGATTTAATCCCACACTTCCTGTTTTTTTAAGGAATTTCTCTTTGTGGGCTTGGAATGTGTGACTCGAACATCCTTCAAATTTTCACCTCCTTTTCCTTACCAGGAAATAGCACCCAATGTGTTATGTCCCCATCTTCGGAGTTTCCTGAAGGGTTTTTCACAAAACAGGAGCGTGCAGATGGAGGCATCATAATCTACTTCCTAATTATCCTTTACATGTTCATGGCCATGTCTATTGTCTGTGATGAGTACTTCCTACCCTCCTTGGAAATCATCAGTGAATGTAAGTAGCTGGAAATCTTCTCTACAACTTTCCAGAACAGTAGTGCCACACACATATACAGCTATCTTTGGAGTAGCTCTGCAGCAATCCTGTCCACCTCAACTGGCTGCAGAACACTGACTCCTGTGTCGTGGTGTCCTGTACCTTGAGGGACTGGCGTGAGTATGGTTTTTCTTGGTAGTTCATGTGCAGCAGAACATCTTTAAATGAGTACAGAGCAACTATTGTTATACTGCCTATCTCCAGAAACTTGCAGTTTGTCTATCGTACTGCCTAGCTGTTTGTTAGTAAGCTGTTCCACGTTTCATACACAGGCACTTGGTACATACTCCTAATGCACTGGACTTCTAATACTTGCCATCAAATACTTCAAAAATTTTTTTCATTTTTACTCTAAAATCTCTGTAACTTTTTTAAAGGTAGATGATAAACAAATACCTTTAAGGACCGCCCTCCTCCCTCTTCCTTTCCCAGCCTCCTACCAGTAAGGAAACTAATTCATGTTTATGAACCAATAAATAAATAAATAAGTCCTGCATTTTCTGTAAAGTGCCCTTCGGCATCAGGTAATTAAACATTAAGCTCAGTTACTGGTTTCTGGAAATAAGATCTGCCAAGCCCCTCAGTTCTACCCCTTCAATCATGTATATCGCCCAGAATTCTGAGCACAGACCTTACATTAGCACACTGGTCCCTAAAATCAGGATATCAGTGATGTTTTATGCCAAATAAGCGAAAGTGCCAGCGTTTCCAGTCTCTGTCTCCTGCTTAATTAGTTTAATTGGTTGAGCATGCTCACTTCAGGGAAGGTCAAAGTTAAGGGTTAGATTTCCCACTGCGTACTCCCAGGACTGCACAGAAATAGCATCCCCCCGCCACACACACACACACACACACACACACACACACACACACACACACACACACACACACACACACACACACACACACTGCTAGCATTTCTTCACAGGGAAAGAGCATGAATGTAAACTCTCCCTTCCTCCCTTTTCTCATGGTCCCATCCCCCACCCCTGCTGAAATACAAGTCATTTTCTCTCTTGTTCAGTGCAGTACAGCAGTATCCTTAGGACTTAAAACAGGATCCGGCAATAGCAGAGGCACTCAACACCTATTTCTCTAATGAAAAATAATTATAGAACAGGTCAGTGTAAGTTTATTATAATTATTATTTAACTTATACATATAGTTTCACATTGATACTACATTTGACATTGACATTGATAGTTTTCCTTAACAGAAATTAAATTACTTTAACATAATACTTTTACTTAGACTGATGAAATGCAAGCAGAATAGAAGAAAAAACAAATTCCTCTACATTTCTATCACCCAGAGACCCCCACAGTTATCATTTGGTGTATTTCCTTTCAGTCTTTTAGATCTTGCTACATATACAATTTGAGGTCGTTTCCTTTTCCTAAGATAATATTTGATCATGTACATTTCCCTATTATTGAATACCCTTCAAAAACATGACTTTTCATGGCAGCACAATAGTTCCTGATTCTGGAAACGATTTGAGCACCTAACACTGGCTTTTATACATAATAAGCACCCAGTAGAAATTTATCACAATTTTTAAAATTATTAATCTTATTAGACATTTGAGTTTTAATTTTTTGTTCTAAATGATGTTATGCCCATACTTGTACCAAATCTTTGCAAACTTCTCTGATCATTTCCTGGTAAAGATACAGAGCTATGCATATTTTAAGCTTTATATTATACATTTCCAAAAGCATTTCACAAAGGGTGTGCCAACGAAAACCTCCACAATGTGTGGTAGCTTCCATTCCAGAAAACCATGAATAATACCTTTTTTAAAAATAATTCTTATTGGGATCATTTTAAATGTCTTTGTTAATTGCTTTCAAATGGAAGTTATTTTATAAAATTTGTATTTATCTTACTATTTGTGAGGTTGAAAATTTTATATGTGTATTAAAATTTCTGGTTTTTGCTTTTGTGTTTTTTGCCCATGTTCTAATACGGGAGTATTTGTCTTTTACTTACTGATTTCCAAGATTTTTTTTAACATAAGGGTATTAACTCTTTCTAATATAATTTTTATATGATATACTTTTTATGGTTTGTTTGGTTTTGTATTTTATGTGTTTATCACATTGAAGTGTACTTTTTAATTTTTTTTTGAAGTGTACATATTTTTAAGTAAATTTACAAATATTTTCCTTATGACTCCCCTTTTGGTTTTATACCTTTTTATCCCTAGGTCAGAAAAATTGTCATCTTTTCTTCTACTTATAGTTTCTTTTTTTTTTTTTACATTTATTTATTTATATTTAATATTTTTATTTCTTCCACTAAGAATTTGTTTTGCTATAGGATACAATGCTATTTTTTCCAAAAGTTGATCCATTTTCTATACTCTCAACTCTATACTCTATTCTAATGATCTATTTGTTCATGTTTGTGCCAGTACCACACTTCTCATTAGAAAAACTAAATCATATTAATTATATAAAATTAAGAAATTAAAAATTCAAGGTACCATATCCCCACTTAGAATCCTTCTCTTCCTGGAAAACAAACAAAAAAATCACTTTTTTTTTGCTTGTTTTTCGTTTTCACATTTCCAAACAATGACTTGACTGAAAGAATAAATCCATCAAGAATTTTTTAAATAAAAACCTGTCTTGGGAGTGGTAAATAAACAGATAACTTTCTAGCCCTGCAGAAGAAACTACTGCATTAAAATTTAGATTGCTACTTCAAAATAATCTTCATTAAGCAACTTCATAAAATATCTATAATAATGATTTCCACCATGCCATTTGTGGAATTACTTTGGAACATCATCAGCAAACATTCATTTCTCAAGTGAATAGCTCTTTGCTCTGAAGTGTAACACAGTAGCTATTATGGATGTGTGATTGATGGATGCCCACATCACTGCCAAATCTTCAGCTGCTAAGAATTGACCCCGGTCTTCAGCATTGAAAATGCTGGCAATGAAATGAAATGGAAATAGTGCTAGCTGGATTCATTTTTTAAATGCCTCTAAATTAATTCTGTCGTTTCTCTTTCCAAGGTCTTAGTATGGTCTTGTCCAAATTAGGACATCAACAATAAAAAACAATTTCTCTGGAATTTCTTTACATCCACAGAAACTAACTTCAGAAAGTCTGCAAATGCTTTACATTTCCCCATAGTTCTTTGACAAGCTATAATAGTCCTACCCAACTAATAAGTATTAATATAATCCTCTAAACAATTTACAGAGCATTCTACAATGTACTGGAATGCTATTAACTATTTATATACTTATTATAGTTATTTATCATAAAACAATTATAGAAGACCAAGCATGGTTCTAAATTAAACATATATGATTATATTTAGTCTTCACAGAAACCCTATAAAGTAGGGACTATTAGATTGGTTTTACTAATGAAAAAACCGAGGCTGAGAGAATATATAATTTCTCAAGACTACACAGCCAGTACACAGGAGAGCCCTGGTTTCTCTAATGCCAAAACCCAAGAATGTTTTCAATTGCTGTGTGATATAATTTTACACGTCCTTGTTTGAGATGAGCTGCCGTAATATGGTTGTTTCAGAAGAACTGTTCTTTCTGAACAATTTTAAAAGGTATTTTTCCTCCCAAGGGCACTGGAAATTTTGACCACAAAAATACATCAAATACTCATTGTAACTACAGAGGAAATATACTACAAAATAATGAGAATCCACCAAGTCACTTAAAAAAATCAGTTAAGAATTTTAGCAACCTACTGGGGGCTGTAAATTAATGTTATAAATGGTAACCTGCAATAATGAGACTCTGAGAACTGAGCATTTTGTCTATGATGTACATGAAATCATAGTGCAGTACTGTGGAACCAAACCATCATGTATAACGCAATGACTTTCTATGGAGTACATGTCTGAGTCCCAACCTAGGATGCAATGGTTGAATTGGCACACCCCCCGGCCCACCCCATCACCCTAGGAACCCCTCCTCCAATCACTAACAGTGGTTCATTTGGTTAGCACAAGGGTCCTCAGCAAGGTGAAGACTAGAAAAGGCTCAGGACTGGAGTCTCCATGCAGGGGATAAGTTGGAAGTGGTGGAGGGCAGAGCCTCTTGCTGACGCCCTGGCCAGGGCCAACTCAGCCAAGTGTAGCTGTCTCTGTCTGTAGCTATATATGCTGGTCTGTCAATTACCATTAGAACCACCACCACTTGAGGCTTTCAACAAGGATCCTTCCCTTTCTTCCTCAACTCATGACCATCAAAGTCACACAACCTCTCCTCCCCACCACAAAACTGGAAAAGCAAGCACATACCCTGAGACATTTTGCTGTCATCTTAACTATGTAGAACCAATACAAGAAAATGTTGTTGCTATACCCCCTTCCTCTAATCCTATTTTCTCTTTTATCCATTTAAGTTCTAAAGGAAAAGAGACTAAAGATGATTCTTTGAACACATTTATATATAATATAAACTATATTAACTTGTAGCCCAAATAGTAGGACTATTACCTCTCATCTTTATAAGCAGTTCATTTTTAGAAACACAAGAGTTCAGTATAAAGTCAAAACAAATCCTTTTTATGTATTGTTTTAACATGTAATGGGGATCTCCTAGAGTTATTTAACCACTGTTTAAATCACCTTTCTTTAACTTTTCCTAAGCTAACTAGAGAGAAACATGAGAACCCCTAGTGACTGGTCACTTGATATAGCCCAAAGTCCACAATGAGCTAGTTATGAAACTTTTCTTTTTAAATGTTACACTAATACGCTATTCAGTTAGTAGTTCTAATCCCTCCACCATGTTGATCCTTTGAAGTATAACATGTCTTAAGTGAAAATGATCTTAGTAAGGTTTTCAGAAACATACTTAAATAAAATATTTACTTTTTTATTAAAAATTTATTCTTATTCACTCTGCTTTGAGCTAATATTTGCCCATGTTCTACTTTGTGTTTCAGAAATAGACAATAAGAAAGAAAGGCAAGTTTTAATTCCAGGTAGAATTAATTCTAAATTGATAAAATTGAAAGGGAGTGGAATAATTCTGTGAGTATGGCATTTGGATAGCCGACAGTTTCAGGGGATTGTTTGATTCTTAATCCTTATGAAATTTACAGAGGCAAAGCCTTTCCAAAGAACAAAGAATCTAAGAATAGCACTTCCTCCCGCCACACAGGCACTCATTCTCCTCTTAAGAGCATTTTCATCCTCTCTGTTTTTCTTCTCCCTCTGATCTAAACTAATCTAAATTTAAAATATAAATAAATACATTGTGGTCACCTTGGATTGCATCTAAACCTACCCCAGGTATATGGATCTAAATAAGTGCTAAGTGGTCTGGATATTACCAAGATGCTATTCAGGAACAGGCAATGATGATGATGATGATAATAATAAAGCTATGTATTAATCTCTTCACTTACATGGGTAACAGAAAGAGCAGCTTTTTAAATTCAAAAAGGTCTAGCTGCCCATCCCATCTCTGCAACTACTACCTATGTGACTTTGGGCAAGTTATGGAGACAAAACTCAGGTAATTGTGAGCTTTGGAGATAAAATGTCTTACATATGCTTTATATGATAGACTTAGGGCAAGTGGAAATTAATTAATGTTAAAGCTGTTAGATTAGGCCATGGGGGAGTCTTTCTTTTTCAGTGGAATCAGGCCTTTCAAAACATTATACAGAGTTTCAGAATTTATTCCGTTATAGCTCAGACAAAATATGAGATGATAACTCTAAAGTACTTCAAATGTTTTTATTTCCTGTTAAAAGCACCACAGAGATATACATGCAGTTGTACATTGAGGGGCTAGGCATTTATTTCAATGATGCTGACTTCACTCAAAACATTTCTAGAATATATTTGGAATTAGTATCAGAACCAATTTTGCAAATCATAAAAGACATTGGTTTGCTGTCATACTTCATTTTGAATAGAATTACTCAGCATGCCTACCCACCCTAGTCACTAGAGTTGGGTCTGAATGACTTTTAATTGCTTCCAAAATTCAAATCCATTCACAAGGCATGAAAATTTGCTATCACTGAGGACTTTACAAAATTGTGCCAGAAGACACCAAATTGCTTATAGCCTTCTCTTGTAACTCTATTAAACGCACATGGTGAAAAGAACTGGAAATACATAAAGAACGGTAGCAGTGGTTAAAATACAATGTTAAAATTATAAATGATCCTCCCCATTGTTTTCTCCTCCATTTTCTAAATTTTCAGCAACAAAGGGGATTTTTATTTATAAAAGGAATTGATTTAACAGTAAGAAGCAGTATAGAGGCTTAAGGCATAGAATTTATATTTTTTGTAAAAATTGATAATATTAGAAGATACCTAAATATTGTGTAGTCCAACCCTCCATTTTACAGATGGCAAAATACAAGACTTGTCTGAATGACTTATCTAAAGTCTCACATCAAGGTAGTGGCAAGGCCAGAAGCCAGGTCTCTATTTTAGTTTAAAACTCTTTCTACTGTATTTCCAGAAGAGGATTTTCAAAAACCGTTACAAACTTTCCAACATGGTACCAGAGAAGAGAACATGCTTAAGAAAAAGTCTGATGAGTTCCAGTAATCAGTTCATTATCATAAAGTTGCACTTTATATAAACAATGTAATATCTAAACCTATAAAGAAAACTCACCTTGAACATTTCCACTATATCCTGAAGGAAATATGATTATTCCTTTAGAGTAATAGAGAGGGAAAAAAGTAATAGCTCTTGGGAGAGGGGGGAAACCAGAACAATTTATCTTTAATAATAAACTATAGCAGAGAGAAATGCTACCCAAGGGTCAGTGAAGACAAAGCCAGTCGATTCTAAAGTTCAAAGGTATAAACCATTTTATAAAATATGCTCAGAACCTTAAGATATAACTTGTTAAAATATCTTTGAAGTTTTTACACATCCATCTGTACAGAACCTTTCTTTTCATAACTCAAATAGAGCCCAGTGAATAGCAACAAGCTTTATTGTTACTGCCTTTTGAGAGTGAAAGTGCTCAAAAGGGCCACCTATTTTCCTACCTTGCAACAGCCGGATGGATCACCCTTTCTCTCTCAAGACTGAATTTTTCTAATGAAGCATTCTTCAGCCAGCATTAAATGAAGATTGGCCATTCACACTTCAGCTGCCCTGAGTTTAGACAGTTACTTCAAGATGAAGCACTTTGTTCTTTTTTAATTTCCTCCACATATTATCGAGCCCTGGTTTGATTTGAGAAGAGAATTCATGGTAATATCACTAAATTTATACATTCTCTGGAATATGCTGGAAAACGTCCAAATTATTCCTGACTCCCATTAGCTATTTTCCCCCTAGCAAGGAATGGAACAGTGGTAGTTATGTACCAGTGCCGTGAGGCAGGAAAGAAAATGACTCAATTGTCCCCCATAATTGGCTTAAGTGCCATTCTTATATTATATTGAGTTTCTGTGATGAAACAGAAATAGCACTGGGTTTAGAAGCAACAGACTTGTGGTTTATGCCCTAATTCCTCACATTTAAGATCCTTGCTCTCCATGTAACTTTTAGTTACTTAACCTTCTGGACCTGTTTCTTTATCTGTAAAATGGAAATACCACCACTCACATCTGAGGATAGCTGAGATGATTAAATTATGTACATGATCGTGAACTGTATACCATGAATGTAAGATATTATTTACTTCATACATAAAATGAAAAAGTTAAGAACAGAACAACATGCTTCATCTTGTTCTATTTTAAGTTTCATGGCCAATTGGTCCTACTACATATCAGAGTTGTAGTAAGAGTATAAATACGATATACTATATATATACTATATATTTATATGTAAAATTACTCTAACCAGTATAAGAAATGCTATGAAATGTCACTTACATAAATGATTACTTCTCTCTCTTCATTAGTCACTACAAGTAGATGATCATCAAGCAAGGTGACCAAAGGAAAATAGTAAGGAATAGGATAGAGAGCCTGGATTAGATAATTCCGACTACCCTGAGAGGATTTTTCACAATGGAGGCTTAACAGGTGGCCCAACAAGCTGGTTGGGCCTCTGAGACCAGATGATCTCATGGGGATAAAAAAGATGACTGCGGCTGGTATTACCAGCAAGCAACACTGTGGATGTCTTTCCAAGCACTTCCCATATTCTTCACAATAAAAGCCCAAGTCCTTGCTAGGATCCACAAGGCCTTACATGATCTAGCCACCTATTACCTTTGACCTCATCATCTACAGCTCTCCTTCACACACTTTATTCCAGACACTCCAGTCTTTTTCTGTTTCTTGAACACGCAGGCTAGCTTCTACCTCAAATTCTTTGCACTCACTCCATCTGCCTAGAATACTCCTGGGTCTATGTGAGGTTAGCTCCCTCACTTTGAAGTCTTTGTTAAGTTACCATCTCAGTGAAGTCCTTTCTGGTTACCCAATCTAAAATTACAATCTTTCCTCCATGACATTTTATATCCCCCCACCCTGCTTTTGCTCCTAACATAATACATAGTTTTCTTATCCTGTCTGTTCTCACTATAATTAAATTCCAGAAGATGAGAAACGTTTGTCGGTTTTGTTGCTGCCACATTCCTAGCACATAAAAAAAGCATCTGGCATACTAGGTAGTCAATAGATAAATAACAAATAAATGAACAATAGTCAGGTGTTCCAGTTATCTACAGCTGCTTAACAAATCACCCCAAAACTATTAGCTTAAAAGAACAATCATTTCATACCTCTCACAGCTTTGGGGGTTTACTGGCCTCAGCTGAGTGGTTCTTGCTTGAGGTCTCTCATGCAGTTATAGTAAGAAGAGAGGACTAGAATTATCTGAAAACTCCCTCCTTCACATGTCTGGTGCCTGGGATGGGAAGATTCAAAACTGGGGGGCTGCACCAGCCAGGGTTCCTCAGGGATCTCTATTTCTATGTGGGCTCTTCACAAGGTCTTTCCAGTATGGTAGCCAGGGTTTTTATGCGATCACTTAGGGCTCTGAAGCAAATGTTCCTAGAGAGAGAAAACCATGAGAAAGTTTTGTCACCTTTTATGCCCTAGCTTCAGAAATATTACGGCTCTGCCATACTGTTAGTCAAAGCAGTCACAAAGGCTCATCTAGGCTCAGATGATGTAAACATAAACTCCACCTTGTTTTTTGTTTTGGTTTGGTTTTTTGATAGGGAATGGAGAAGTTCTGGAAAATCATGTGGGCAGAAATATCGTAGCTATTTTTGTTTTGTTGTCACACCGCCAACAACAAAAGGAATCAGTAATGTCAAAGGTAGATGTCTCAGCAGAGAAGTAGAACCTGATGTGGACCTGAGAGTGAGCGACAGGTAACGGTCCCCACAGGCAAGAATAAGGAAATACTGACCACAGGTGAACGGGACTCAACAAAGCACACCAGAGTTTGAGAGTCTGGAAAGACTGAGTGTCAAATATCAGTAGAGATAGCAATAACATCAACAAAGGATTGCTATCAAAGCCTTGGAAACCTGAGTTTTAGTTCTAACTTTGACACTAACTTTCTGACCTAGGGTAAATAATGCCTAGCACGCTGCCTCTATTGGCTATTTTCCAGCTAAAGTTAATATTAGTGATTTTCTGTGAAGGTGTAGCTTTGATATATATATCTATTTAGTTATAAAGACATACTTTCATTTGTCACTTTACCAGGCATAACATAATCTCATTTGTCTTCAGCCTTTGGATTGTCCCAGAATGTTGCAGGTGCAACTTTTATGGCAGCCGGTAGTTCAGCTCCTGAATTGGTTACTGCTTTCCTAGGTAAATATTGCTCCTTATATTTTTTCTTACTCCATGTGATTTGATCTTCTCCAAGTCAATACTAACTGAGCTACTATCTTGCTTATAGGTGTATTTATCACAGAGGGCGATATTGGCATCAGCACCATTCTTGGATCTGCAATTTATAATCTCCTTGGCATCTGTGCAGCCTGTGGCTTACTATCTAACGTGGTATGTAAAACAACTTTATTCAACAAAATTTATTGCCTTGACAAATTATAAGAACCGTTCACAGTCTAGAACAAACAAGGCACTAGTAATGCGTTCAATTAAATTTATTAATCGGTAGAAAAACAACATGTATTCAATTTTAAGTTAACCCACAAATACCTCTTGGTCAAATTTATGAAAATCAGACTAGGTTTAGAAACACAATTTTTCTTAAAATTCCTTTCTCTATGCAATATGCAAAAGGCAACAATATTTAGCTACAAATATACAAACAATTTTATTATTGCACTAAGCAAGTACTTGAAGAAGTTACAGTGTAATGGAAAACATTAATTATTTTATAGGTTTCAACGCTATCATGTTGGCCCCTATTCAGAGACTGTGCAGCATACATGATTAGTGTAGCAGCAGTTCTTGCCATAATATTTGACAACCAAGTTTACTGGTAAGCTTGAATAATCATTATTCTTAATGTAAAACAGTTACAGAGAGGATTTTTATAAAATTCTGATGGTTTAGTAACATTTCTTTTTTTTTCAAAAATGTTATTTCAATCACTTCTCAATTATCCGCCACTTCCGTACATTTTCCCTGTAGGTCTCTGAGCTAACCCCCTCACAACCATTGCTAGTTGGGTTCTTCTCCCTTCTTTGCAATTCTTTAGTCAAGTCAGTCTTTTTTCTATCTAACCACTGGATGTTACCACCCTTCTTTCTCTCCACTGACTTTCTGTTGAGAAGATCTCCCAACTTTTGTTGTCCGTTAAAGCCCTAACAGGTGGCTTCTTCATCTATTGGGTGGTTTACCTTGCTTCCGTTAAAAGTGACCATGGTCACAAGATTGGAGAAGATGACAAAGGAAGTAAAAGAAGTTCCTTTAAATTCCTCCAACTTTCTCCCTGATGTTCATTTAGTAAGAGGAACTATAGCCTTCTTCCTCTAAAAATCAAAAACGTTTAGGTTTCAATATTAAAACCTGTTTGCTTTATAATCTCCCCATGCCTTGCTGTCCCAAGAAAATGAAAAAGGGGGTGACTTAGTGAACAGATAGTAATCGTTTCAGCTAACGAGTAGGTGTTTATCACTACACTAGGAATCTTAACGGATAAAGAAATGTGAAACACAGCCATACGGATTGTACATTGCCCAATGCCAGAGATCACCAGAAAAATAGAAAACACTGTAAACGGCACCCCTCTGGAATACTACAATTTGGCAGTGCTGCATCAATACCTGCTATCAAAACACTTTAAACCTCGCAGGGAGCAAATTTTTTAAATGAATCATCCTGAAATCTAGCCTGTCTCCCAAGGAAAGACTGTTGGTTACAATGGGGATGCTTCTGGGACTTAGCAGTTGTCTGTAAGGGGACAGTGACTGTGAGAGCATCCAAGCTAATGCTCCCCCCCATTAGGGAAATCAAGAACTCCGTGCTTTCAAGCTGTAGCAGAGACTCAATGGCTATAAAATAAAAGGTAAATGCAAGGTTCAAATGTGATGGTATTAGCTAATGAAAATCCTTTAAACAGCAAGCCAGAGTACAGGAAAACGGTTCTCAGTGCCTTAGGTATAATTTTATTTTTGAGAACATCCTTGCTTTCTTGTGAATGCAAGCCAAACTCATTTACATTAAAATCTTCGAAAAATCTCTGTATAGCAAACTGAAAGGCTCCAGCCAAAGTCTAATATATTCTGAATATTTTACACAAAATTCCTATACAATTGAAATGAACAAATACTATATGTTCTTATAATTATTATATTCTTCCAATGACCTGAGGTGGAGAATGCCCATCACTATTCATTAGTTTCACTTTTATTTTGAAAGTCTATAATTACTATTATGTTTAAAGAACTTTTTATGCCTGCCATTAGGAAGGATTCTACAAATTAAGACAATGAATTTATCATCTTTGTTTTTGAAATACAGAAAGGACAGTGTCAAGCTTTCATCAATACATTTTTATTAATGCTGTAACCAAAGGTGGACACATCTGCAAAACCAAAATATATGTAGAACATTTCTGTTCTATTGCTGCATTAGAAAATTAAGCAGATACTGCCCCAAAGCTACTAACTCTAAAATAACTTTCACATTTTTAATTGAAAAACACACAAATTTCTCTAATTTATAGGTATGAAGGAACTTCACTGCTTTTGATATACGGATTGTATGTTTTGGTGCTGTGTTTTGACATTAAAATTAACCAATATATTATAAAGAAATGCAGTCCTTGCTGCACCTGCCTTGCCAAAGCAATGGAAGAGAGAAGTGAACAACAGCCACTGATGGGATGGGAAGATGAGGATCGACCATTCATCCGTAGGCAGTCAAGAACTGACAGTGGAGTATTTCATGAAGATTCTGGCTACTCCCAGCTTTCCATAAGTTTACATGGTCTTAGTCAGGTTTCTGAAGGTAATAACCACATCCTGGCTACTATTAAGTCTATTCACTAGCAAAACTTAATTTCATTTCAATTCATTAAGTACTATATACTTACTATGTAAAAAACACTACGGGGATTAAGGGATGATCAAGAGGCAGACCTATCCCTAAAGAAGCTTCCAATACTACAGGGGGGGAAAAAAAAACCCAAATAGCTAAAATGTGAACATTTAAGTACTGTAAAGAGAAACAAATAACGCATAACTGTGGTTCCTAAACGGGACAGATGGTATAAAATTTGATGAAGATGGTTAGATAGGAAAGATTATCACGGAGAAGGGAGCATTAAAACTAAGCCTTGTAGAATAGTAAGATTTTAACTAACAACCTGATTTCTGAATAATAAGTAACAGCTATTGAAGTCTAGACTTCAATAGCTGTTACTTATTAGTCATAAGTAAATGATGCAGAGATAAGAGTAAAGAGTATTCCATGGACTGACAAGGAAATAACATGAGCAAAAGGTCTGCTCAAGTACTAACATAACTGGAGCACTGCATGTGCAGAATGGAAGCAGAAGAAAGGTGGATAGAAAGGAAGAGGAGAGAGTCTTAAATGCTAAATTAAGAGTGTTTGCAGGTTTGTGAGCAGAGAAATTATCAGAACTGAAATATGGGATAAAAGACATGGAGGTCTTTAAGAGGCTACAAAACCAACTGATGTGTTTAACAGATGTCTAGACAAAGTGAAGGCAGGGGGGGATACAAGAGAACAGATGTGAGACATTGCAAAGGGAGCATCACCAAGACCAGGCCACTGAAGGGCTACTTGGGAGCAGAGATAATTCGGAGGCTTTTGATCATGACTGATTAAGAAGATGAGAACACCACTTACAAAAACTAGGAATTAAGGAAGAAAAGCTGGTGTGGGAAAAAAGAAAGTAGGAAGGAAACAGTTGAATTTTAAACATGTCATTTGAAGCAGTAGCAAAACACTTAAGTAAATATATTTAGTAGGAAGTCGAATTCAGCTATGGCCAGAAATACAAATTTGGTGGTTATTTTTTTTATAAAGTGGTTGTAAGAAACAGATTCTAAATTTTATTTAGTAGACAGGGAACTTATTCTAATTTATTACCTTAAAAAGTTAAAGTATGACTTTTACCCTTCTTACAAAAATTATAGTTTCTAGTCTTTCAGGCGCAAGAGGTACACACGTCTAAGTTAAATTTTATAACAAGAAACTCAAAAGAACCAGTCCAAACATTTTTTATCACACTAAAATTATATCTGTTACTTTCTGGCCCATTGGCTGAGGCTTGGCAAAAAATTTTTTATGAGTTATTTTACTAGCATTCGTTGTAATGTGACCTAATATATGGGTATAGTATTTTATAAATGCCATACAAATTTTAAACAATTTTAAAGTGAATTCCCCTTTTTATTGAATATATTATTGTCTTCCACTAAGTATTGAATTTAAAAAACATACTCAAGTCTTATAAGTTACATTGTAGATTCTATACTAGTGCCTATTTTCTTAAGGTTCTTTCTAAGAATTGTGGTCAATTCTGTGTTTGGTAAATTAATCAAAGAAAATAATGAAACAAGTCCCCTAAAGACACTTACAATGAGAATTAGAAATATTCAACTTAATAAAAAGATTATGCTATAATTATCTTATACTCCCTAAGTATACATTATGTGATACATAGGGCAGGCTGGAGGTACCATCAATACTGGGAAATGGAAACAACGGGGATAGCTAAGGTAAGACAGCCAGTTAATCCCATAAGCAAAAGTTACTAAAGACCATCCACACTGTAGAAAACCAAGAGATGTTGAACTGACACTTCATAAACATTATGTCTCTAACATACTTAGTGAATGATCCAAGACATTTTGATGGATTTAAGGCCCCAAATCAAGAAACGCTGAGTATCACATTTTACACCGTCAGCCCTGAAGTCTCAATTAGTTTCTTTGCCAGCAATATCAGTAATGAGGTATTCGAATGTTTTAAATAGCCTCTTAAAAACTGATACAGCTAATTTATTTCAATACAGCTCTCTAAATGAACATTTCTAACTTAATTGGCCACTTGAGAAAACTCAAAATCGTTTAATTTTTCCTTAACAGATCCACCAAGTGTTTTCAACATGCCTGAAGCAGACTTGAAAAGAGTTTTTTGGGTACTATCCCTTCCCATTATTATACTACTTTTTCTAACCACACCAGATTGTAGAAGAAAGTTTTGGAAAAATTACTTTGTGATAACCTTTTTCATGTCAGCACTGTGGATATCTGCATTTACATATATCCTGGTTTGGATGGTCACAATAACTGGTATGTATCTTAAGCATAAGAGCACAATTTAAAAATAAAATAATCAGTTTTATATAAGAACAAAGCATATATTCACTAAGTGTAGTCTAGTTAAAGAGCAAATTTTTTTTCAGTAAAGACTAAAGATTAGTGCTATTTACAGAAAGATTAAATATTAATACACCAACAAGCTCATTCAGGTTTTGTGAGTTGTATATCACATGTCAACTATATTCTCACTGTTATATACAGCCCAGGGGTACAAGTCAAAGGAATGTACATGTTATAAATGAAATCAAATTCACAGAATGTCTTTCTATTATGCTAATAATTAAATCACATTGCATGGGTGCACAATATAGTCTTTATATTGAATTCCATTCCATAATAAAAAATATAGCAAGGTGCCAGTGTTTTGAGAAAACGATGGGTACTCACTGTTTAACTGGATTACATTTTATTTTGCTTTTTAATATGGGAATATAAACGTAGTATGAAATGAATAAAAAGGGTACAAAATAAAGTTTCATTTTAGGTTTCTACTACCTTCATGATTAAGATTTAACTATTACTGCTTGGTCGTAAGTAGCTCTAGTCCCACAGAACTCCTAGTCCAGAAGGAAAAACTGAATATAAACAATGAACAAAAAAATCAGGAATTTCTCCCAGAAAGGTTAAGCTGAATGGACTTATATCATAGGTGAGCAAACCACCACCTGTGTGCCCAAATCACTGAGTCTCCTTTTGAGAGTTAAGTTTTACTGGACACAGTCATGCCCATCAATTTATATATTATCTATGGATGCTTTCACATTACACTGGCAGAGCTGAATAACTGCAACGGAGATCATATAGCCTGCAAAGCCTAAAATAATTACTATCTCACCCTTTCGAAAAAAATTTGCTGACCTCTGACTTTTCTCAAATTAATATATGACTTAGAATAGTATGCTATTCTATTTCTTTTTCTTTTACTTTTTTTTAAGAGTAAGATGAAAAAGTCCAATAGCTTGCATATTAAAACTCTAAATTTTCTCAGACAGATCACATTTGACATTAGGAAAGCAAGAAAAGAACAAAATGAAGTACTAGATCATAGAACAGTCCCCAAGATGATAAATATTAGTGTTATTTATGTACATATGAACTCTGGCAAACCAGTAACAAAATTAACAACCAATTACAATTCCAGTATCAATATATAAGCATGCAATAAATACGCTACTTGAAGTTCTTCTAATTAACATTTTAAGAAAAAAAAATTCTAAAGTAAGTTTTCAATTACAATATTAAGAGCAGTTACAATTACTTTTTTTTTTTAAACTTCCCTCTAGTTGTGTTTCCCAAAATGAATACATTTATGAAAAATGTTGAACTGACATCAGACTTAACACAAGTATTAAACTGGGACCATAAAGTTAGAAAGACTCAAGCCGAATCCTATTCTGTTTTCCTCAGATTTATGATTTCCCAAAGAAAACACTAAACTAAGGTCTGTCACTAAAGTAGGAATTTAAAAGCGCATACCGTGTTAACACATGTACAGCTTAAAAACAGCTACAAATAATTTGCTTAAATCTGACCTCTTTAGCAAATGTTTTTAAAAGGGAAAAGAGAAAATGACCAATCTCATTAGCATATTTTAAGCAACAGCCTTGACAACAGTGGACAGCCAAAACTTCTGTAAGCATACCAGGCAAGGAAATTACTCCTTGGTAGAATTTTGTGTATTAAATATCGATATCTGTCATTAAAAATCTGTGCTACCTGGGTTACCAATTCACCAATATTATTCAAATATTTTGGTAGCTAAAATCTAAGTAAATACATATTGGTTCTGAAATCTAAATATGCCTATTTTCTTTTTCAGGAAAGAAATATCTGAAATATCTGCAGAGAACAGTTAGCGAATCTGTAAGATTTGTAACTTGTAATATCTATGTTTATTTCAGGGGAAACATTAGAAATTCCAGATACAGTAATGGGCCTTACTTTATTAGCAGCAGGAACAAGCATACCAGACACGATTGCAAGTGTGTTGGTTGCAAGAAAAGGTAAGAAGTAGGTCCCTCAAGCTGCAGTGCCCTTCTTAAAAGCCTGGCTGAAATACACTGAGCAAAGGTAACTTTAAAATATTTATTTCCTCAGTAACATACTTTGAAGAAAAAAAAAGGAGTGACTCAGAGGAAGGATTTACTATTTAATAGCAGATTAATTTCACTAAATCTAATCGCCCAAGTAATATTCATCTGAAATGTGCATTAAACCATAACCATGTTAGAATGAAAAGCAACAAGTAATCTACATACCTTATTGAAAAATGGTTTAATAAATAAAGATAATTATTATTAGATAAATAAAGGTTAAGACTTTAAATACTAACCCCCCAAAATTTAAAAATACAAATTCATTAAGACTTTTCCTCTAATACAACAATTTTCCAAAACAAACAGAGAAAGTATCCAGTGTTTTTTCTTATGAAGCTTATTAATAAAATACAGTATTGGTGTGCATATTTTAACAACATGCTTTTTTTTTTTTACAGGCAAAGGAGATATGGCTATGTCTAACATCGTGGGATCCAATGTGTTCGATATGTTGTGCCTAGGAGTTCCATGGTTTATTAAAACTGCATTTATAAATGCATCTGCTCCTGTAGAAGTGAACAGTAGAGGACTAACTTACATAACCATCTTTCTCAACATTTCAATTATTTTTCTTCTCTTAGCAGTTCACCTTAATGGCTGGAAACTAGACAGAAAGTTGGGACTAGTCTGCCTATTATTATACTTGGGGCTTGCAACATTATCAGTTCTGTATGAACTTGGAATTATTGGAAATAATAAAATAAGGGGCTGTGGTGGTTAATGTTATGTGGAAAATGTGAATGACGGGGAAGGGCTGAGAAGGAAAACTCCATTTCTCCATTTAAGTCAAATAAAAAATATTCTGAACTTTAGAATCTAAAACTTACTTACAGTAATTCTTTATCACCAAGAAAAATTTAAAACCAACCAAAATCATATCCTAATTTGTCTGAGCCCTTTCTTTTCAAGGACAATTACATATATTAAACAGAAGTTTTGAAAAAACCATCTATGTTTTACCTTACAATAAGTTGATAAAAGCTGGGGACACTTGAACAAACAAATCCCACTATGCAGAACTGAAAATAACAAGAAAATGGCTTATTTCATTAAAAATAGTATAACCATTCATTTAAACTGAATGACCAGACTTGCTGTCTTTAAAAATCCAAACTTGAGATTAACAAAAATCACAGTATATTAACACTATACTGTTAAAAGCTGGTGGGAGTTTTAAAAGTTCATCTTTACAACTTTTGTAAGCATACAGTATTACTTAAAAAAATGACTTTTACTAGGAGATTCAGCAAAACAGATGTAAGAATGTTCCAACCGTGGTTTCAAATTATGCATTACGATCCAAGCGAACATCAATTTCTCTGCCACTGATTTTTATGCCATTCATTATTCTGCAGGCTTTTTCAGCTGATTCTGGGGAGTCAAATCTGACCGTTCCACAGCCTTTTGACTTTCCATTCTCCATTTTTATTTCTGCAAACATTACATGACCTATAAAATAAAAATTATAGAATTACTAGTCTGTTTAAACAGGTTCCATTTCACTGCACAGGTTTGAAATTTCTCGTAGCCAATGAAATGATAACTTGGCTAAAAACATCAATGATTTTAAAACAGCACATCATATAAGCATTATTCTCGTCATTTTATATTCTGAATATAATGCAACTCATATAAAGTAATGAATATATACAGGTTATAATATACAAAATTGAAATCAAAATAAATTTGCTTAGGATTTAATATTTTATTAAAATAAAATTTTTTAATGTTAAATCCTTACTTCTAAAGTGAATTTTATAGCAAGATAAGGTAAGCTAGCACAAAATGACACCAAGTCACCATGCCTAATAACAAACTTACAAATTCAAACAAAATTATTTTTAGAAAAACAATTGCTCTTTTATGCCCAGTCCCCTAATCTCTCTTCCCTCCCTTTTATCCTCCATTTCACTCTTTTATCCCTGAAAACAGTAGCAACTGCCCAGAAATTTAATTTTTACCAGGCCACAAAGAGCTCCGCTAATTCTGCTTTTCAACCACAGTGCCAAAGTCATTTATTCAATATGACAATTTGAACTCCACATGTAAGAGTGGCACCAAGTATATTACAGAAACAGGCATGGACGAGATACTGTAGATTTAAATCAATAAAAGTAGAAAACAGTGATGATAAGAGCACAAAGAAGAACCTTAGAGAAACTTCCAGGAGGAGGAAAACCAGACAATGGTTCTGTTTATAGTTAATATCATTACTGACTCTATACAGACTGGTATTTGAAATAAATGAATATCATTTATCAAAATACGTAGCCATAAAAATCCATCATCCAAACCAAAAACTTCAGAGAGTAAAAGGGAGAGTTAATAATAATTACACACAAATGACAGATGTAAACATTGAGACTATCCCCAGGCATACAAGGATGTATGATAACCCAGTTCACACAGATTTAGATGTGAGGTGACTACTTGCCATGTTTCCCTCCCGTTGAATATTATAGTTGCCAGATCACTATGGGCTAATTTTAGTCTGGCAATAAAATCAAACAGTCAGACATATTTAGTTCTATAAAGGGACAAAAAAAGGAAAAGGGGGGAAGGTAAAAGAAAAGGGCTTGGGCTTCCCTGGTGGCGCAGTGGTTAAGAACCCACCTGCTAATACAGGGGACACAGGTTCGAGCCCTGGTCTAGGAAGAGCCCACAGTCCGCGGAGCAACTAAGCCCGTGCACCACAACTACTGAGCCTGCACTCTAGAGACCGCGAGCCACAACTACTAAGCCCACGTGCCACAACTACTGAAGCCCGCACGCCTAGAGCCTGTGCTCTGCAACAAGAGAAGCCACTGCAATGAGAAGCCTGCGCACTGCAACGAAGAGTAGCCCCCGCTCGCCGCAACTAGAGAAAGCCCACGCGCAAAGACCCAATGCAACCCAAAATAATAAATTAATTAATTAATTTAAAAAAGGGCTTATCAAAAAATTGCATAAGCCCTTTCCAGGCGATGGGATGAACTTTTAATCCCAATGCATGAGTAAGATTTTTTTTTCCTGTTTAAATTTTGATCTGAATGATTTCTACAACATCCTAGGCTACTTTTCTTCTTTTGTTTATTCATCCATCCCCGCCCTGCCCCATTACTGCGTTTTTTAAAAACCAACTGATAGGTAATCACTCACCCACTCAATACTAATTAAATGGTTCAAGTTAATAAATATCACACTGAACCAAAACCATGATCTGTAACCCAAGCCAGGCAGTCTTTAACTGTGTTCTAAAAGTTATAAAACAGACTAATTCCCAGAGAAATTATTATAATGGTTAAAGTAGATCCAAAAACTTTTTAACTTACAACAGGTAAAAAACCAAACACACCCCTGTGCACCATTAGTGGGAATGTAAACTGGTGTTGCCACTACAGAAAACTGTATGGCAATTCCTCAAGAAATTAAAAATAGAACTACCATAAGATCCAGCAATTCCCCTCCTGGGTACTTATCCGAAGAAAATAAAAACACTAATTAAAAAAAGATACATGCACCCCTATGTCCACTGCAGCACTATTTACAACAGCCAAGATATGGAAGCCACCCAAGCATGCACTACTCAGCCATAAAAAAGAATGAAATCTTGCCATTTGCAACAACATGGACGAACCCAGAGGGTATTATATGCTAAGTAAATAAGTCACAGCAAGATAAATACTGTATAATTTCACTTATATGTGGACTCTAAAAACCAAAAGAAATGAACGTAACAAAACAGAAACAGTTATACAGAGAACAAACAGGTGGCTGTCTGAGTGGAGGGGGCTGGAGAGAAGAAAGAAATAGTAAAGGAAGATTAAGAGGTACAAACTTCCAATTGCAAAATAAATGAGTCACGGGTATGAAAAGTACAATGTGAGGAATATAGTCAGTAACTACGTAATATCTTTTTATGGTGATATATTGTAACTGGATTTACCGTGATGATCATTTGAAAAGTACGGAAATATCGAATCACTATATTGTGTAACAGAAACTAACATAGGGTTGTAGGTCAATTATACTTCAAAAGCAAAGAAACAAACTCATAGAAAAAAAAAAAAAGAGATCATTTTGTAGTTACCAGAGTCGGCAGGTGGAGTGGAGAGGGGAAACTGGAGGAAGGGAGTCAAAAGGTACAAACTTCGAGTTATAAGATAAATAAGTACTAGGGATGTAATGTACAACATGGTAAGTGCTGAGTGTTACATATTAAAGTTGTTAAGAGAGTAAATCCTAAGAGCTCTCATCACAAGGAAAATCTTTTTTTCTATCTCTTTAATTTTGTATCTATGGGATGATGGATGTTCACTGAACTTCTTGTGATAACCATTTTATATGTGTAAGTCAAATCATTATGCTGTACACCTTAAAATTATACAGTGCTATATGTCGATTCTATCTCAACGAAACTGGAAGAAAAAATTTAAAAAAAATACAGAAATCACATTTTCTAACAAACATCATAAAATGAAACTGGAGACTATATATATATATTTTTTAAAGCTTTAAAGACAAATGCAGAGCAATTTCCAGAGTCACAGTCCTCTTAGTATCTCAAATGCTGGGACCTGAAAAAAAAGCAAGTTTAATTAAAGAAGCATACCTTGGTAAATGGGAGCACTTTACAGTGATTTTGAAGAGGACTGTGGAGAATTTTCAAGAGTTTTTAAGGTTAAATGTTCTTCATTATCCTAAATTTATCTGTTTTTCTTAACATAAGTATCCCACCATAGGTTTACTAGCAATACTAAGGTTCACTCAAGCAAGAAATCTTCAAAACTTCAAAGGAAAATATGTAATAATCTCTTGCAAAATCCGTTAATCTCCCAGGACAAGTTTCTCTTTTCTTCTCTTAAATTTCCTCTCTTTTTAGGAATCATGACTCAAACCCCCAAATTCCTGACCTCACAGTGATCTCAAGGCTTTTCTAGCTGACAAGGTCTATCAGCTAAGATACTTGAACCTTCTTACAGTTTGGACACGCAGGTTTATAGAGAAAGTAACTTATAGATACTTGTTTCACGGTTAGATTGCCCCCAAAAACCCCTAGGTATAGAACTAGAAAGTTCTGTTTTCTAACTTTCTTCTTAATCCCATAAAAACACCAACTGAGATATATTCTTTTCTAAAGATAAATAATTGAGGAGAAAAAAATTTAGTTTTAATTAATTAAAATCAGACTTCTCTGGTTTTGTACATGCTCCAAGGACTCTTAAATGACTGAAATATCTACTGATCTTGTGTGATTCCAAGAAAAACAAAATAGGGCTGCTATTTTAGCAACAGTATAAAAGAGTATGCAATGAGAAATCAGTATTACAGTAATCAAAAATACTGCTGTTACATATACTAACTACAAAAAATGACTCTCCTACAATATAAGAAACCTTTCTGCTTTATTTAACTCAGCCTATTAAGTAATCTTGTGGGGTATACTCTGGAAAATGATGATGTAAAAGCGTATCTAAAAACTGACCAAATTAAAGCATAAATAAATAAATAAATGGTTTAATAAAACCTACTTCCAAAGTACAGCTGTAACATAACCACAGGACAAGAAAGCAAAATCAGATATTCTACAAGAAACTATAATTATGATACGGGGGACAAAAAACAAAGTTTGATTGTTTCTTTACAAACAAAAGAAAGTGACTATCTATGAATATTCTTCATATATTGTTTTTACTCTTACTGCATTATTTTTACTGTTATTTTAATCTAGAGTCCACTAGCCATGCTTGAAGCACCATGTGTTTTAGTAAATAAAATCCACCACAAGTCTCCATTTTCTATGCAGGTAACAGGTAGCATACTGATGTAAAAAATGAAAATAATGGAAACCTGTGGAACAACGTTATATTTGTTATGGTTTATAGCAGGAATAATTAAGAATGGGCTTTCCTTGCTCTGCAGTTCTAAAACACACTAAGCCAGAGTATAGTTAAAGTGTACAGACAATATGGAAGTTTGAAAAACTACACCTATTTGACTTCATTAACACAACCTGAACTAATGCGGGGTCCAACTCTGAATGGGTTAGTTATTTATACTCAGTCTTCTTAAAAATGTGTATTGAGGAATTACATAGAGCAAAATAAAAGAAGATCTACTTTACTATACTCACTTCCTTCTCATCTTGTTATATTTGGGGATATATGAATACATTTTTTCCTGAATTATACCTGCTAAGGAAATGTTGTATTGAGGGTTATTTAACTCATACTCCAACATTTTCTCGATCTTTGTAATTGCCCCACCAAGGACAATTAACCACTCTAGACATCTAATAATCAGAGGGCTTGCTGATGGGCCATTTACTAGCAGTTACTGTCTAGAGGAGAGCATGGAGTACCACTAGACTCCTACTAAGAAGTAATCAAGAGAATATACTTACTCACCTTAGGCTCAGGGGGTTAAAAAAATAGCAAAAAACTGACTTCTACTGTGAAAAGGGGCACTACTGGCTTGGAGCAGGTTAAAAAGAAACTTTCCATTCTAAGAAAGAAAAGCTAAGATTTGAAAATAAATAAAGTGATGTGTGGCAGAAAAACAGATGGTTCAGTTCATACAAGCCAGATAATTTCCATAGTTGTCAATAGCTGGACACTTAATTCTATAAATTATTACTGTAACTTATCTTCCTTTCCATCAATGTAAGTTCAAGGTTAAAAACAGGAAGATGGTAGGAAATTATTTACTATGGTATTACCTTAATATAAATCTGAAAGTCAAAAGCTTTTACAATTAGAATTGAGAAAACAAAACCAAAAAGCATTACTCTCATGATATAATAAAGACTGATCAAAAAGGGACATAAAAATAGAGCTAAAATAACAGAGTTAAGCACTTTATTTTATTGGCTAAAATGTTGTACAGATTTTTTAAATGTAGATTTGGGGACTAGTTTTTCCTTTTAAAAAATGTTTTTGAATTGTTGATGTCCTTCTGTCAAAACAATGCCAGCAACAAGTATAGAAGCCCACCAAAAGACCTCAAATTTGCTGCAAGCCTTGCTCATATCTGATCTTGAAAGGAAATCTGCCTACGTACAAGGAAACAGTCAACTCAGTTTTGGTCACATTTTCACTAATGTCATTTGTTTGCCCCACTTTGTTCTTTATCTTGTTTCATTTCTACTTTTTAAAATAAAGTCATATGTCATCTGGAGATTCTTCTTCACTGAAACTACAACAGCAGGGATTATCTATACTTGCTGCCACCGCTCCTCATTTGATGGATCTCACTAAGGCCGTAATATGCTCATTTCCCCTGTAGCCTATGGGATTCACGGGTAGATGCTGCTTACTCATCCTGGTAGATCTCCTTACTCCTACAAAGACTACCAACACCTCAAAACAACTTGATAATTCTGCTTTCTCTTAGTAGCAACTATTTACTAGTTGACTTGTTTACAACAACTTTTTTATCAATAAAAATTATCTTTCTCTTCTTTGAATAAAATGTAAATAAATATAAAAGATGATCAACAAAAAGGAGCCACTAGAACATTGTAGACAGATCCACACTGTATGTTCTTTGAGGGCAGGGGTAATATCTTACTTTCTTCCCTTTCTAATCCTAATGATGAGCAGACTACCAAAAATACAATATTTGTAGATTTACTTAATAAATAACCAAATAAATGAATGAAGATCTTTTCAGAATGCTTAACTCATTCATAACATTTAATAAACTCCTATACGTGCAGAGGCAACGAAATGTGCTAGAATAAACAGATGATGGTTCTTGCCCTCAAGAGCCTCCATCTGGGAGGGAAGAAAACATGTGAACAGATTACCACAAGAAAAGTTAGGTATAAAGTACTCTGAGAACACATTAGAGAACAGTTTCCAGAAGGATCACTTTGATCCCCTGTGACAGTGGCTACAAAGGTTACTTTTGTGGGAGAACACTAAACTTATCCCCTTCATGATCTCCAGAAATTAAAGGTATATTCCAAATACTCTTAACTTTCCATTAACTCTCAAAGGTTGAATATACCACTTTTACTTAGCTATTTTTCATCATTATATCCCACCGACATAGTTGTACTATTAATACTCTCTGGGTTACCATGCAATAGCAAAAAAAAACGAGCAGGAAATCTGTTACTTTGTTCTACTCACACTAAATCTCTCATCATTACAAAAAAAAGGCCCTCTTTTAAAAGTAATAAACCACCTAATCATCTACAGACCTAATGAATATATTACGGTCGTATAGGTAGTATCATTATAGCCAAGAACAGTTTATAAAAGGAACAGAAGGGCCGCCAGAATGTACCTGTCTAAGGCATTCTAGGCAGTGGGTTCTACGCTATCAGCTAAGTTTCCTTTATTGTATAGGTGACAGAGTGCGCAGAACGGGTCTCATCTATTAACTCCATATCACTTGGATGTCAGCATTTCATTGGGTCATGTTGACAAAGCACTGTACTACATTATAAACAAAGAAATACATATACCATTCGTTAGTATTTCCCACATAAAAAACATCCTTTTAAATTCAAGCAATGATGATATAGTAACCATTTAAAAATCAGGTAATAAAATAAGCCCTTTCTTTATCCACAGGAGACAATGACAGACTGTACTCTAAATCTTGTTATTTAGTAGTAATTTGCACTGCTGTACGTCAGAGGATAGCAAAATAATTCATTTCTTTGAAGTGGAATTAAACCTGTCATACTACCCAGGAATAAGCATCTGGACAGGTAAAGGTCTAAGCAGTATTTAAAAGTTTAAAATCAATTTTTCCTCCATAATCAATATCAATATATCTACAGTCATTGGCATACTTACCACACTGACTGAATTTCTCTTTTAGTTTCTGCCAAGTCAAGTCAAAAGGCAGCTAGAATGAAAAAAGGTATTAGTAACAGATATACAAGGAAAAAAATAATTTTAAGTATACTTTACATTTAGTTGCTTACATTTCTGACAAATATCTGGTTGCCTTTGGAGCCTATTCTGTCTCTCATTCCGCTTCCCATAGGACCTGATAAAAATCCTCGATCCATATCGATGCTCCTTTCCAGTATAGCTCCTATACCTGGTCCCATTCTATCAAAGCTGGAACTCATCCGATCCAGTCCCATCCCCATTCCTCCAGTCACACTGTTCATGCCACCCATTCCACCACCTGGATTTTCAAGAAGGGAAGGGAGGATTTGGGAGTTTGGTGTTTTTGTTTTAAGAACAGAAGGAAAAGGAGAAGGAAGAGGAAGAAGGAGAGAAAGAGGAGGGAGAGAATCATTTTTGAGAAAGAAAGAGAGAAAAATTAATTCATTTATGTAATTAGACAATATATAAATAAAATTATTTTTATACACACAATATAACAATCTTCCAAGGAACAGATTTTAATTTTGTATATATTCAGTTAGTCGAATGTTAATGGCTAACTGAATCTGTTCATCCTATTATACATATACATTTCTAAAAAATTATATCCTGATCATAAAACGTAAGTTATATAAATTTTCTATCAATGACTTTATTCATTAATGTTATAGTAGTTTGTATCCTCACTTTTATCTTTTAATAATACCAAGCTTAGTAATTGTTAGAACAAAGACATATGGGGTAAATTCAAATAATTACAACTACAACATATCAACTGTTGCTCTCATACTGTCCTACATCATATTCTTTTCCTAGCTTACCTTTCACCTCAGTATCTTGTTTTGTATACAATTGCTCTTTTCATATCAATTCAATTTTCAATAACCACAGAAAAAGCTAACTTTTAGTCTCTATGTTATACAGAACTTGTGGAGATAACAACAAAAACTGGAATCACACTCTTTTAGCCAGAGCTTAAAAATCTAGCTTGTAGCTCGTACCCACTTGATTCTTATACATTGAGTCCCCTTTAACTATTGCAATCCTACTCTTTCTCAATCGTATCCTTTTTTCTCGTACCCAATATCCCCACTCTAAAAATTAACATCACCCTCAAATTGGCTTTCTGTGAATAACATATATAAAATTAGGGGAACAGAAGTATAAACACTGAGGTGAAAAAGGAAGGTAGGGAAGTTATGATTAACAGGAAAATGGCCAAGGCCAAAAAGATGATGAAAAGAAGGAATAAAATGAGAAGCAAGGTACAATGGAAGTACCTTCAGCTGACAAGATATTTTAACTCACTCTTAGAAGAGTTCAAGTAGACTTTGTTTCCTATTTGTGAGATTTCAATCAATTAAAGGAAGTCGGTAACTATGGAGAGCTCACATAGACATGGTTCAGTAAGCAACATGGGTCAAAAACTAAGCCTTGTGTTAAGGGTTAATATAAGGCCTAAAATGTACTAGTGGAAACAGAGGGAAGAAATTTGGCATTCCCCAGTTTTGCAACAATAGTACTCTTGATTCTATCAAAGAAAAGGTTTAAGAAGCAAGGAAATAAGCATTTCTTTTAACCTTGCCCTCAACCTCAGGAGGTCTCCAGAAGTGTTAGATCTGAGGTGATTCACCTGCATTTACCAAAAGACACAATATTTTTTCACAAATGAAATAAGCTAGTCTCCAACAGCAGTTATAAGCAAAGAAACAGAGTTGGTGCTAAAGCTAATGTTGTTCGTGACATATGATCAGAAAAAGCCCCAGATTCTTTAGTTGGAATAAAGGTTCTTGAATTGGGTGACAGTTAACACATATTCTGGTGTTAGTTTAGAAATGTCAAAGAAGTAAAATTCAAAGTTAGTTAAGAAATTTCCAACAGCAATAAAACAGTAAAGCTCAATAAATATCAAAGTTTCTCTAAATTATGACAAGTCATATCAACATATAAGAACAAAGTATTACAATACTACAGTAACTACTCTTGCAAAGTTTTTTGCAAGTATTCAAATATTACTGTAAAATTCTAGTAAAATTTAAACCTACTTATTCCAGATCCTACTGGACCCATGTTAGAAGCTCCTATTCTTCCTGCAAACCCTCCAATCATTGCACTGCCTAAACAAGGATGGAAAGATAATATACTAATTAATTTAAATAATCATACTTTAAAATTCCCAAGGTATTATGCTCTCAGAAGATGTACAATAACTGAAAAGTATAAAGTCTTCTACAAATAGGGTTCAAATATGTAAGACACTGAAAAAGAGAGCTAGTACATTAAAACCTCTGAAGTATTTTTCTTCAAGTAGTAAATTGCACGAAACATTATAAATTTCTAATTTTTCATACAAAAAAAGACAGCCAAACTTTGAAAAAATACAACCTGCAGAAAGAAAAGAAGTAAACAGCCAGCCCTACCAAGTCTACCAAAGGAATCTCCAAAGCCTCGATTTATTCCAATATCACCACGTCCAAAATCTCTCTCCATGCTACTAGTCATCGCACCACGGTATAGCTCTGAAAAGATTATGCAACAAATTAACCCTTTTTCAAGTATTATCAATAAACAGTAATCCATTTAGGAACTTATTGAAACTAAACTGTAATGACAGCAAAAGCCACAATACAAGAAGTCCATGATTTACCCAACCTACTTCACATGCCACAGATATCCCAGTTCCGCTCTGCCTGTCCCTACCCCTGGTGCCCATACATCCTCTGAAAACATCTACAGTATCCATTCCTAAGTAAAGGGGGGACATTTTTAATAATGGAGAAAATGAAATGTAGTATACACATCCCACTATATACATTTACCTACCTCCCATTCGACCAACTCCTCCAAATCCTCCCATGCTACTCATTGCTTCCAGACCACCAAACCCAATTCCTATGGAATAAAGGTTAAGTTTGAGATCTGTCAGTTATATAGCTGAAAGGTATATTTTGTAAATATTAAGTCTTATCAGTAAGCTCTTCATCCACCCTACCTTGTGCAACTGCTTCTTAACACATCACCTTCCATATCCCTTAAGTATGTACCAGGCTCAATTTCTGCTAGCAGCCTTTAGGACGTGAGCCAACAGTAAACCGTGACTTTTGTTTCCCTTGGAATTCTCAACATAGTTTCTAACTTACTAAACATGGTGATGGGTACATACAAGAAAACAAATGCTTATACATACCTCCTCCAATTCTATTCATTCCTCCAAAACCTGGACCATCCATTCCCATACCTCAAATAAAATACACAGTATGTACTTTCAGTAAATCTTATTTTAATGACTAAAGAATGACATAATGCAACACAGCAAAATAGATACCAATGGTCTAGTCACAGTGGAATACTAGAGAAGCAGCAGGGCACAGATGGGACGGTTTAAAGTGCTATGCCACAGCAGGTGTCTAATCATGAGTCTTCAAAAAGGCCTCTTTGAATATTTATTAGACAAGAAAACAAAATTCACTGGTCATACTCACATTCAGTTAGAGAATATCTAGGACTAGGTAATCGTTCATTTTTTTTTTCAGCTCAGACACACAAATATCACTACAGCAGATTGAGAGATCAGGTCAGAAAGTAAGGACTCCTTTAAACATGGCAGCTAAGGGAGCAGTAAAAAATGAAAGAATAAAAATAGTATGTGTTTAGGAGGGTAGAGGGCCTAAGAGTAAGGGAGAAGATTTCCATCTGTTTAGACCATAATGATTATCATAACTACCCTCACAATTTAAAATGTAACTATAGCATCTCAACAAAAATAGAAACCAGATAGCATTAATTAGTCCATCAATTAAAACAGCAATTCTCAAAATATGGTCTAAGGACCTTTGAGGGTTCAATAGGTCAAAACTCCTTCATTATCCAAATAACACTAAGATATTGACTGTTTTACTCTCATTTTCTCATGAGTATAAGGTGGAATTTTCCAGAAACTACATGATAGATGACACTGTAACAAACTGAATGCAAAAGCAGATACAAGAGCATGACTGTCTTGCATTAAGCCAAACATTAAAGAGATGTACAAAAAGGTGAAATAATATCACTCTTCTCACTAGTTTTTGTATTGGAAAATACAATTTATTTTCTTAAAAATTACATTTATTTTAACACATAATGTGTTTATCATTGTTATCTTAAATAAATATGTAAATTTTTTAAAATTTCTAAGTTTTAATTTCAAATACAGTAAATACTGACAAATATAACCACATAAGCAAAAGCACTTTGGGGTCCTCAACAAATTTTAAGAGTATAAAAGGGTTCTGAAATCAAAAAGTTTAAAAATCAATCTTCAAACATAAACTGTAGGTTAGTCTACGTGAATAGCCAAACAGCTATCTGAAAAGCTACCCTCCCAACTAGATATTCAAATTTAAATTGCTTATATGGTAGTATTTCAGCCATTCTACAAATACTGTATATCCATGATACACAAGGCATAGACTATGTTGAATATTCTCCTTCTACCTTAAAGACAATTCAAAATCTAAAAGGCTAAAGGCTAGCTAAAAGTGCTAAAAGGCTAGCTGTAACGTGGCTGCCCTCAGAGGAACCCTCCTGACCTTCTGTTCAACCTCTTTCACGTTCTCTGCTCGCAAAGGTTTCATTCCTTTTTCAGACTAAAGTAACATCTTAAATATTCAACTATAAACTACAGTCCTTTAAATATTATTACAAACTAGTAAATATAAGCTTTACAATGTAGCAAATGTATCATTTAAAAAGAAACAATAAAGTTAGAATACTCACCACTTGGACCTAAATTCCCCATTACACCACCTATGTTCAACTGGCTGGCACTAATAGGCTGTCCACCTGGACCAAGTCCCATTCCAATGCCTCCAAGACCACCTAAAACACAAATAAGAATATTATTACCAACTCTTATATGATCAACTAACTGGCACTGAAAAAATTTTTAAAGCTATATGCCTGTAGTAGTATTTCTAAAATTTCGCAAATTTGTAAATAAGAGCACCACAGTTCTTGTTTTCATTGGAATGCAGCACATTGAAGCCTCACTATAATATCATTTACTAATGAGAAGTGTTTTATGAAGCAGATCCATCTTATATCCCAGTTAAAGGCATACTGAAAAAGAGTAATGAAATACCAAGAGGATTTTGAACCACCTTATAAATGACATACATATCTGAAAATAAGAATCTTGCTTGAATCTGTAGACCCTCTTAAAACCTAGGAATTACTTTTCAGATGGTTCAAATCAAACTAAAAAGTCAACAAACATGAAAACATTGAATAAAGCAAACATTATATTACCTAGTTTTATCACTGAAATAAATATTTATATAAACAAATATATTTATTTATATTTATATGGTATTTTAATTTATTTATATACTATGGTATACAGTGTTTTCACATCTATTATCCACAGATGAGGTAATTTTTGAGACCGTTAAGTTACTTGTACAATGCCATTTAACTACGTGATTAAGCTAAAGACTAGAATTCAAGTTTTCTGTCTCTAAATCCAGTATTCTTTTTACTTTCTCTCTTAAACTAAGTTCACTGAAAAGAGACTGTAAGAAGACAATCTGATGACTTAAAGACAGTGGGAACTGTTTTATTCTACTAAATCTGAGTTTGACTTAAAAGTTCTTGCTAGTCAATGTAGCAATTAGTAAGTGGTAAGGGCTGAGAAAACCATATACTATATATATATTTTTAAAAAGAGTACAGAAGCATGTCGTGTTAAATTGGAGAAAGATCAATGTGACCTGGTAAAAGAAATATCTTTTTTAGCTCAGTCCCTAAAAATGGTTCAAAGCAATAGCACACTTCACTATCAACAATGCTCATGTCTACACCTAAAACTCTTATTTTCTTCTCTGACATCATTCTTCACTAAAAGGAACCAGGCCTCTTTGAAAGTAGGCCAATCTCATGTCTTTGAACAAGAAAAATCTTCATGGATCTGGGAAATCCCATTCTCACCAGAAAGTAATAGCAGAGGCATAGGAAATGAGAGGTCCCCTCTTGCCAAGTTATAATAATTTGAGAAAAAGAAGTGGGGAGAAAGGCAAAAAATAGGGAGGTTAATAATAATTAACTTAACTAAAACAACAAACTGATTCTGTTAAAGTCTATGAGTTCATATTACATCTCAATAGAAAAGAGTACATAAAACCATAAATCTTAAAAAGAACAGATATAAAAGTATGAATGTAATTTTTAAATCTAAATAAATTGAAAAGTACTAACAGTGGAAAATAAATCGAAAGCCCCTACTTTATAAAACCAGGATATTAAAAGATGACACCCTGAGTGATAAGGAAGGGCAGGAAAGGACTGCCCTACAAAGGGAGAACAGGTAATATTCAAAGACATGTAAGCTGAGAATTTATTTTAAAAAACTGAATTCTCAATTGTGAAAGCCCAATGAACAGTAATCCACATCCACACTGTAGTAAAACTGCATGCCAAAGATAAAGATCTTAAAATCAGCTACATGAAGAGCACAGCTTATCTATAAAGAAAGGACAGTTCAACTGATAGCTGACTTGATAGCAAATATAGAAGCCAGTAGACTGGAATATTTTTGAAGTGTTGAGAGAAAATAAGTACCTTAAACTATATAACCAGTGAAACTATCTTTGAAGACATTTATAGACAAACCAAAATTAAGAGAATTTACTAACAACAGATACTCATTGAAAGAGCTTTTAAAATATATGCTTCAGGGGGAAAAAATAGTGCCAGGGTCTATGAAAGCAGATGATAAGTAATAATAATGCCTAATTTGTGGGATTGGAAGCAAAGCAATATATAACTAAAACATTGAGCAATAATAGCATATAATTCGGTAGGAAAGTGATTAGAATTAGAGCATTCAAAGGTCATTCTACTATTGAGAATAACTATATTAACTTCAGACTTTATATAGGCATATTAAAATATCCAGGATAACCACCAAAAGAGAAAGATAGGAGAAAAATAAATATAAACATTTGTAAAACACAGAAAAATAAAACACATAATAAGATAATGGGCATTAATCCAAATAAATCTACAAATGTGAATAAACAAAACAAAGCTGTTGTATCTCCATTACTATTAGACAAGTGACTTAAAGGTAGTTACTAAGTATGAAATCACTCTATAATGATAACATCTTGATTCACTAAGAAAATATATCAGTTCTAAACCTGCATGCACCTACTGAATTAGTTTCAAAATAGTTCAAGTAAAAACAAGAAAAAATATGCAAATTCACCATTATAGCAGGGGATTTTACCATAAACTTATCTCAGTAATTGATAGCACAAGCAGACAAAATTACTAGCAGAGATATAATTTAAATGATTAACAAACTTGATTTAATGGACATATACAGAACAGTATACTGCACACCTGAAGTATTTATTAAAATGTATCATATATTAGGCCACAATGCAAAGTCCAAATTAATTAATTGATTCCAAGGAATCACAGAGACCGTCTTCTATGACCACACTGTTAAGTTATAAGTTAGTAAGAAAAAAAGTATACATTTGGAAATTCAAAAATATATGACTTAGGAAGAAATCATAATGGCAATTTAATAAAAATTAAATCACAATAAAGACACTCTATAGCAAAACTTGTATATAGTGGCCAAATTTATAGTCATAACTACTTGTATTAAAAAAGAGGCTGCAAATTAGTGAAGTACACATTCAACTTAAGGAGTTAGGACAAAAATAAGAGACTAAACCCAAAGAAACAGAGAAGGAAATAAAACTAAGAGAATAAATTAAAATATAAAAAATGGAATTCACTTCTTTGAAAGCACTAATAAAACTGACAAATCTCTAAGAAAAACTGACTAAGGGGGCTTCCCTGGTGGCACAGTGGTTAAGAATCCGCCTGCCAATGTAGGGGACACGGCCTCGAGCCCTGGTCTGGGAAGATCCCACGTGCTGCGGAGCAACGAAGTCCGTGCACCACAACTACTGGGCCTGTGCTCTAGAGCCCGCGAGCCACAACTACTGAGCCCACACACCACAACTACTGAAGTCTGCGCGCCTATAGCCTGTGCTCTGCAACAAGAGAAGACACGGCAATGAGAAGCCCATGCACCGCAACGAAGAGTAGCCCCCCCCGCTCACCGCAACTAGAGAAAGCCCATGCTCAGCAGTGAAGACCCAACGCAGCAAAAAAAAAATAAATTTAAAAAAAAAAGAAAAAAAGAGAAATTGCAAACCACTGGAATTTAAAAAAGAACTATGGATGTGGCAAAAATTTAGAGACTATTTTATGCCAATAAATCTGAAGATGAGGAATAACGGTAAAATTCTCAGAAAAGTAGAAATTACAATTGAGTCAAGAAGCAATAGGAAATATGAACAATAAATAGTTAAAAATCTTCCCACAAACAATAAAACAAGGCCAGACAGTTTTACAAATAATTTCTAGCAAACATTGAGAACGTATTATTCTAAAAGAAAAAGAACAAAACACTCCTCAACTTAGTATTGTTTCTAATAACAGAAAATTAGAATAACCTAAAAAATATATATGTAAAATGTGGTATTAGCAGTTAAAATAAAGGAACTAGAGCTACAATCTATCAAACATAAATGAATCTCAGAAACAATGTTAAACCAAAACGAGCAAGTTGCAGAATAATAGGCACAATATAATTTCACTCACACCAAATTTTAAATCCAGCAAAACAATTTCATATAATGTTTATGGATGTATAAATGTGTGATCAAATTATTAAAACCTAAATGATAAACACTGTATTCATAAGTTGTTTCCTCTAGGTAAGGTATCTAGTGGGAGGTGGTAGGGGAGAAGAATCTTTATCTGTAAAATTTTATTTTAAAGAAAAATCACCTAAAACAAATATGGTCTACACAGCTACACGAGTGATTTTATATTTGTATATTTTAAATATTTTATGGAAAAAAAACTTTAATAATAACCAGAGAAAATGCAACAAAAAGTAAGAACACGAGGTAGTATTTACTGAGTGCTTACATTATGCCAGAACTGTTCTAAGTGCTTTACATATACTATATATTAATTCATGGAATACTCATGCCAACCCCATGAAGTAGGTACTATCAAGCATCCTCATTTTGAACATGGGGTATTGAGACACAGATGTTAAGTACATCATATTGCTGTTTTATAATCCTTTGGAAAACAATTTGATAATACTGATCAATAAGCATACCTGAAAACCTGTAAATCTACATAAAGATATCTATCTTAAGGAAATAACCAAAAACATACCAAAGATTTGTATACAAAAAGAAAGAAAAAGAAAAAACTCTATTGGTGATTAAAGGGAAAATGTTAAAATACCTACAATATACATAACAGTGAAATAGTTACGGAGCATCCATATGATAGATTATCAACAGCCAATAAATTTTGGAAAGAATTTTTAACATAGAATAATGTTTTTGTTAAACAAAAAAACAGAAAATTATTTATATGGTAGTTCTCAACTGTGTAAAAAAATACACCTAGAAGGAAAGACCGGAAGGAAATGCACAAAAATGTTATAATGGAGGTTACTTATGGGTGGTAAAATCACAACGGTTTTTTTTCCCCCTCACATATAAGCTTAACAAATTTTTTAGTATATATTGCTTTTATAATCAGGAAAAACTACAAAAAGAAAGAAAAGTGTCTGTCACATAGAATCAATTATGCCAAACTAGCTCCATAACTCCAAACACCAAACTGTGGGCAACTTGGGAAGTAGGCACAAAAATAAAGTTTTGCTTAGCATATCATGAAATTGAAAAAGAATAGTCTGTATTACTTCTAATAATAGCTTTTACTTACGTGGTAATTGTGGTGTTTTACTATCATGTGAACGGAAGTCTTCATGAGGGACAGACTTGTCATCCTAATTGCAAAAAAGTTTATTATATGGTTAATATATAATTAAAAAGATCTGTAACATAGAAGAGAGCAGATAAAACATTTGAAGAGGTTGGAGAGTTGAAGTGATATACAGGAACTCACCATTTTCACATGCATAGGTCTATCAAACAAAAACTGCCCATTGAACATAGCTGTTGGTTCAGTCAAGGAAAGCCAGTTAGGCAACTATGAAATTATACTTGAACACAAACACATTTTTAATAATCATATTTAGCATCAGACTATCTCTAATATTTTAAAAAACATCCTTAGTATTTTACTTATTTGTATTAGTCTCTTCCGCATACTCAAAAATCTTCAGTTCTTTGCTTTATAGTTTTATTTTATAAATATCTTTAATTCAACCACTGCAAAAAGAAAATTAACAAGGCTTCATTTAAAGCAACTGTATTAACGTACAATGAATTACATTACTGTCAACAGCATGTACACAATTAGTTGTGGTAGGAAGAGAAAGTAGAAAAAAGTTCATACCAGGCCTATACAATATGGCTAATTCAAGTTTTAAGAGTGACTTTAGTACTTGGACATAGTAAAGGTTTTATGTGCTGGAGACCAAATTCTAATACATATTTCTAAGCCAGGCAACCTTAAATTCCATAATCCCCACAAAACGGTATCAAACTTCTTCAACCTTATTAAATAATGCTAAAGTGTAAATCAGGATACAAATTGCTTGAACTGCTTCAATTGCTTGTTCAAAAGTGACTGTGCCCATTCCTCTGCTCTTGCCATCTTTGTCTTCTTTAATATCTGCCCGCTTTACAGTTCCAGCTATGCTGAACACTTCCTTTAGCTTCTTCCAACCAACTTTGAAGTCAAGCTTAATATAAAATTATATAAAGTTACACACCTATTAACTCCTCTCCCCACTTATAAATAATACTTTTCTAAACTCTCAAAAAGATAAAGAACTATAATTCTTGTTAAACAGTATATCAATAGTATTCACGTAGAAACATCTTAAATTATTAAAGATCAGTTAAGCTACATCTACATTGTTCCTTACCCTTATTTTTTTTAATTCCCAAAACAGTCTCTCAGAGCTGCTCAATCCTGTTTTGTACATTTGAAACTTTCATATCTATTTTTACTGACAGAAATTCAGATTTTGGAAAGTATGGTTGATATCACTGACTTCCAAAAGCTTAGAACAAATGACAAACCAACTACAACATGTACATTCACAAATATCAAGTATCAAAGCTAAAGAAAGAAATCCATTTACCAATATGAACAAAAATCACACATAATGTAAGTACATAATTTCAAGAACTGCTTAAGTGTTTATAAATTCCACAGTTCCGTTTTAAAAAATCCTAAATACTTGTATTTACACTCTGACCTTATATTTATGGACTTAAATTGGGTTTGAGTTTACAATAATTACTGTTTTGCTTAGTCAAAAACAAGCAAAATGTTCTATAAACCTATGACCCATTCATCTAATTAAATAATCTCATGATTAGAACTAAATATCTGAATGGCAAATTTTTAGAGTAAAGCTTAAACTTACATTAGCAACAAAAATTGTGGAACCAAGTCTACCAGCCTGCAAATTACTGATAACCTCAGGAGGAATGTTTGGATTATTGAGAATGGAAGGTGGTAAATTCATCAATCCCGATCCCATGTCGGGTACATGTCCTCCTGGAAATGATCCTCCTGTTCGTTGCAGTGCCCTACGAGCATTTTCTCCATCAGGATCCTATAACACACAGTGAATGTTAAATGCCACCAGATACATCAGTAAGTCTATATCACTAAAATAACAACTTCAAATTCTACAGCAGCTATCCCAACTGGCTCAAATTAGTGGCCCTCTTGAAGAGTGAGCTTTTTTCTCATCCAGAGAATTCAGTCCCATAAAAACCTGTGGATAGACAAGAGATTTCAGTCTCCAGGGATGTCAATTAAATATCTCTTTCCAATCACTAAAGTCACTTAAGAACTTGAAATTAGTTTAATTTTGCCCTCATACAGGTATACAAGTATATGGCACACACACATAAATCCACATAACTCAGAGGAACAAAATACTTACTGTGACTCTTATTCCCACCACTATATGCCCAATGTAATGACAAATTCATACTAACTCAAAGCTTTCAACAGAAGAACAGCCTGTTATAAAACCCAGGAATACTGGGGTAGAGGGGAACTGTTATAATGTGGAAATTTCATTCCCGAACAAAATACAATTATCCACTTTCCAACCTCTTTCCATCCTCAACAATGATTATGATCTGAGATGGAAGGAGAAGGGACATAAAGAAAGGCATGAAGAATGGTACTAAACATTGTTTGGTTTTTGTTTTCTTAAGTTCGTTTACTTTTAAGAGAAATATGCTGCCTTTAAACAAAGCAAAAAAGGCAAGCTTAAACATACTTCTCACTCATCTCAGTAAGTAGAGTACAAAAAACAAATAAACACACAGATAGACTATCATCTGCAATACCAAATGATTATGATATATGTAACCATCAACTCTACTCTGCTGGCCTCCATCTGGGAATACTAATAAAAAGAAAGTTGGATGACTTTAATAAATTTTCTAGGAAGGCTGGAAAATAGAAGGTGAAGTGAATGTAAGAATAAAGGTATTCTGGCATCCAATGTATTCCATCACCATGAAGAAATAAAAAGAAATACAAAAGCAAAGAAATTAATGTTTTGAAGAATGCTATAAAACTCTTTTAAGTTAACAAATAAATGCTTCAGGTCTAAGGTTTCAAAATCTTGCACAAATACAAAACTTAGAATAGTGGTTACCTATGGGGGAAGGAGGAGGACATAGCAGGGAAGATGCTTCATGAACCATTACGATAGTCAGATTGTTTGTCCTTCACATCTTAACATTAATAAAACATTGTTATATTTTGATTTTTTAGGTATGATATATATATAAACATATATACACACAAAAATATGAACACACATGTAAAACATATATAAAATACAAATTATGTAAAACCACCTACTATGTAGCATGATTTTCATTCCTCTTTTCTCCTTAGATGTCAGCCTGCCAGTCACTGCCTGCTACTGCTATGAGAGGGCCTCTAATAAGTTTACAACTGCTACTAAACCTCACTTAATTAAATTTAAAAATGCAATTCTAATATCTGTTAATGAATATCGGAAATATACTTTTCCCTAGACTCGAACTAGTGTTTCTCAGCACTGACCCCAGCCACCCACGTGAAAATCAGATAATTCCAAGAAAGGGACCTTTAGAGATATTAATCCGAAAAAGTTAACTGAATAAAGAACACCTCATCATTTAGCCAGGCCAAACTCAACCATTTTTCTCTTTAGGAAGTAAAAACTGGGAGTATCCTATATCAACTTGGATCACATAACTCTATTATAGGGTCTCTGAAATATTACTGAGGATCTACAATGTGTTAAAACTTAAAAGAACACAAACAATACGGGCTTGGCCTTTAGCATCCAATAAACTTTTTTTCCAGTTAAAAAAAGACACAGAATCTATAATACTTGTCTTTTTTTTTTTTTTTTTTGGCCACACTGTGAGCCTCGTGGGATCTTAGTTCCCCGACTAGGAACTGAACCCCAGCCCTCGGCAGTGAGACCACGGAGTCCTAACCACTGGACTGCCAGGAAATTCCATATAACACTGGTCATTTGAAGAGGAATAGGAAACATCATAAAAAAGCAAGTCATAATTCTCAAAATAATAATTTCCCAAATGGTGGCTATTCTACAAATGTCACCCTTATGGGAAATTATTAGGGTATCAGCACATTTCTGGAAAACTGGTCCTGGCTTATGCATAAAAATTACCAAATAAATGGCTGGCACAGATTACAACAGTCTAAACTTTCTCTACCAATTTTCTACATCTCAGTCAAAATATTTAAAAAGAAAGGAAAGAATAAGCCCCTAGGCTCAAATAGAATTAGAGAAATTCAGAAGCTGACTCCAATAAAGGGATATGGGATACCTGTATTTGTTGGCAGCATGGCCTTTAATTTTAAGCTATTATCATCTCATATCCAGGAACAAGAGACCAAGGACCAGTAACACTCCCACCTTGGGCAGGAATAACAACAATCAAAATTATTATTACGGGGACTTCCCTGGTGGCACAGTGATTAAGAATCCATCTGCTAATGCAGGGGACACAGGTTTGAGCCCTGGTCCAGGAAGATCCCACATGCCGCAGAGCAACTAAGCCGTTGCGCCACAACTACTGAGCCTGTGCACTAGAGCCCGCGAGCCACAACTACTGAGCCCAAGTGCCACAACAACTGAAGCCCGTGCACCTAGAGCCTGTGCTCCACAAGAGAAGCCTCTGCAATAAGAAGCCCGTGCACTGCAATGAAGAGAACCCCCCACTAGCCGCAACTAGAGAAAGCCCACGCAAAGCAACAAAAACCCAATGCAGCCAAAATAAATTAATTTTTTTAAGTTAAAAAAAATTATTATTACAGCTAACATTTATTATGTAGTTACAATATTTTCAGCACTGTGCTAAGTGCTTTATATAATTATAACAAATATGTAACATTTATTGTTTTATATATATTAACTCTTTGAGTCCTCATAACACTATCAGATAGATTCTAGTACCATACCCATTTTAGTGATAAGAAAACAGAGGAGTTAAGTAATTTGCCCTGGGTCAGATTCTCTGATGCCAGAGCCTGAGTTTTTTTAATCCTCATAAATGTATCTCCATTTAATCCTCATAAAAACCCTAACTAGGTAAGTATTATCTGTATACTATTATAATTACTAAGGTTTAGACAATAACTCAACTAAGTACACAGCTAGAAAGTGATAGATCTGGGACTCAAACCAATACCATACTAAATTAAATTGTGACTGACAGTACTGCTCTACAATGATTTGCATCCATGTTGGTGGAAACTCTTCAGGGACCCAAAGTTACATCCTCTATCATTTTTTACTATAGACTTTAGCAAGGATATATACCTATGTGGCCTGTGATCAACTATTCAGTAAGATCAACAATATGAACTAAAGAAAGACATGAAAATGACTTCTATTCAAGTTAATCATTTCCAAGGTAAATTACACCTAACTGTAAACAGGTTTTCATGTATCGTCCAATCATTCTTTTTGTCAACATATTTATACACTGTTTCATACAACGGGAACATCTCCACTTTAAAGGTTTCCAAGTTCCAGTTATAAATTTCACTAACCGATTTATAACTTTTCTTAAATTTTAATCTGGGATAGTTTCAGGTTAATTTTATTAAAAGTGAGTATCAATTTTATTCAAATCCATAAGGTATTTGCATTATTAAGCAAACTTTAATTATGAACTAGAATATCTACAATATTTCTTAAATCTAATAACACAGTCTAAAAACTGAAAATGTTTATACCAAGTATAAACTTGGTATAAAAAAGTCAGCACCTTAAGTCTGTCATCTTTAAATTTCTGTGTCCTGTAATTTTTTAAAATCATACACCCCTGCTTATAATAACTTGGAACAAATCATATACATAGGATACTGCTTAAGGGCAAATAGGAAAATCATGTACAAGCAAAACTATCATCAATTATATAATGCTTTAGTAAGCATCTACTCTTTAAAAAAAATGCTGTAATCAGATAAATAACCTTACTAGATGAAAATCCAAACAAGACATGTCCTTATAATTCAAATGTTTAAATTATTCCAAATATAAGAAATCTTACCTCTTTGATATTCAAGGGTCTTCCGCTAAGATCATATTTGTTCATAGTTTCTAGTGCTTTCTTGACAAATTCTTCATCTTTGAATTCAACCACACTTAATGGGGAAAAAATTTATAGGAAATGTTTATGTACTAAGATTTTTTTCCAATCATAAGTTTAAATTTGACTTAAGATACATAAAAAAAGAAAATTCTTACCCACAACCCTATATCCAGGTAGATTTGTCAATATATGCAAAAGAAAAAAAGTTCTGGATCAGTAGACGAAGTTAATGGCAGATTCTAACATTTAAATCATTAAAAATCAATAATACAATCATTCTTTGTCTTTTAGACCTCCAGAATATAACAGGCACGTGACCACAAATTTTCTGTAAATTTTCAGATCTATCTATTTAAGATTGTAGAATCTAGCATCTAACAAGTTTGGAGCACATTTTTACTTTTAGATGATTCTTCTTTAAAACTAAAGTAATGTCATCCCACAAATTCAATCAAAAGTAACTCAAGGAAGTGACTGAAGGCTCTCAAATACCTATCTTTACATTGTTATGAATATTTTTGAAAGATATATGGTACACAAGTAATTTTTAATGTAAAATTTTCAATTTTATTAAAATCAAAATAGGAAATATTAATCTAATGTTAAAGTTCTCAAAACTGGCTGCACACAATTTAATAGCATCCAGTTGTAAGTATATTAAAAAAAGAACTATGCTAAAGAAACAAATTAGTAGAATCATTTTTTATATAATTCCTTGTCAATATTACTGTTCAAAGTGCCATTTGAATGTGATGACAAAGTTTTTATTTCTCATGCACCCAACTGGTTTTTGCTAGTATAATTAAACATTGTTAAAAAGCTTTCCATTATATTCCTCAATATATTGCTTTCTTGCTAAAATTCAAAATCTACTATCAACCAATTCCTTCTATGTCAATTTAATCATCAATGTTATTCATACCAATTGGTCAGAGCACTGCCTTTTATGTAGTCCTGCAGGCTACCAAATTAGGCTCTTCAGTGCAAGTTTCAAATGTACATTCTGAATTAACACCTTTAAGCTATAGGCCTCTCATAGAACTCTTAGGAAATATTATCAATTCAGTGATTTTTAAAATATCCTTAAAGACATCAAAACACAACAAAAAATATCCTATATTAAAATCTATTGGCTAAGAAGCATTACCTTAGAGCATTAGAAAAGTGAACGCCCTTTATGAGCATTTACAAAACCCATCCCTTCAAGGCAGCTAGTTTGGTTTGTATAAGTGTCAGACTTGCTAGTATAAAGCCTCAAATCTTTCATAATAAAGTAAAGCAAAATGAAACTTAAGTTTCCAAAAACTGGTACAAGTATTATACAAAAAGTAAACTGCTGAGGAACTTTTAAACCTCAAGCAGATGATTGCCCACAGCACTTACCCTTGATTTTCCTTCCGCATCCTTAAAGAGCTCCACGTATGTAACCTCACCAACTACATAAGACATACAAAAGGAAGATACCAAGAAACAATACATTTAAACACCAATATCTTGCTTTACTGCACACCTGTGCACAACTCTACAGAAAAGCACCTATTATTCACCAACAATCAAAACCAGACCAACATACCTCCTGTCAATGGCTATGTAAATTTAACTAATTTTCAGAAATGTACATCATCCACATTCTCTAAAAAAGCTAACAACCATATTAACCTAATTCATGCTACAGATCATATTTTGGCCAGCATGATATAGTTGGTGAACAAATGCACATATACATACAAATGGTCCCTTAGCCTATCATATTAAAAACATCAACATTAGCACTTTTCAAATAACTTTGGTCGCCTACACACAACAGCTGTTTTAAGGTGACTTTCTACCTGAATGTCTTCAATCTTGTTTGCCGTCAGTAAACTAAATTTACAAGTCATGCTTCACAGCAAGCCACACACTTTCTAAATAAAGTCAATGAATAAAACCAATCAAATAGTTGTCACCTTACAACAGATACACCAATGCAAAATTTTTTTTATTTATTAGAAGAGATCAGCCTCAAAACCAAGTAAGTAGTTTGCAGGACTGTTGAAACTCAATTTTTCAAGAGATAACAAAACTAACTTTTACAAGATCAAGTATTAAAAATATTTTTCCCCAAAATCAACCGTGTATATAAAATGAAGGTTTTCAGGTTATTCTGAAAACAAAACTGCAACAGCAGTAACACAATTTTAATATAGAACTGCAGAGACAGCATCATGGCATTCATGACAATGCAAACAAAATGAATTCCACAGCCAGATTCCAGACTCCACCAAGATAATAACAAAACAGCTTTTGGAAAAAAAAATAATCAGACCTTATTATTCATACGTTAACACGCTAAATATATTGCTTACCTAATGCAATAGGCCTTTAAAAATCTATAAAAACTTCAACTAGACAAAGCAATCACTTTAACAAAATTCTTGGTGGCATGCATATGCTGGTTCGCTACTACCCCACTAAAATGGCAAAAAAAAAAAAAAAAAAAAAAAACTTCATTTATCCGTACTACCTTGTAATGAAATTGTGTCAAGTGAAAGAAGAGGAAAAGATTAATTTATGTGTCAAAAAAATCAATTTTTTGAGTCTGTGTGGCTAAGAGGAATAAAAAAAAGTTTGCTTAGCTCCCTCTCATTCTATATGAAAATTATCCAACAATGGGTTTCTCAAAAATAGTTACCTTTTTCTCTCATTAGATCTTTAATGGCTTGCCATTTCATGTCATATGGGATGTTGCTAATAAAAACTCTGTTACGATTTGGACCCTTCTTTTCTCCAGTGCCTGAGTTCTTATCTTTTGAATAAGGATGAAATCTGTTGGCTTTCTTATTTCCTGTAGATTTTTCTTTTAATTCAGATTTCTCTTCTTTGACCGATTCATCATTCTCCCTGTGAATTAAAAATAAAACAAAAAACAGAACAACAAAAAGAAAACCTCAGCAGGGCTTCCATAATATAAGTCTACGTTAAATAAATATTTCATATTTATCACTTCACTTCACAAAATTCTCCCCTAAGTTAGACCTCAGCAAAGCAGCTGGAGAGTCAGCCTACTGGCTTTGAAATTACTCAATGTCTTTTCAAAGCAATGATTTGGGCATATTACCAAAGTTCTCATTTAACAACCCTCCTTTTATTCTGTATTAAATAGCTGCAGCATTCAAACAAACCTAGTTTTTCCCATCATACTACTTAATAAACGTTGTTAGAACCTGACAAGAGGGTAAAATGGGTGATTTTATTCCTAGAGTATATTAAAACTTCCACCTTTAATGGAGAATTAACTTTCTGGGCCTCATTCAGAACTCTACAAAAATTAATTTGCAAAATGAGACCCAGAAAAAGTTTCTCTCTTAAAGGTTAATGGTTTCCTCCCAAAACTTTCCTCTTCCACTGCTTTAAGAACATAATTAAAACATAATTTTATCTATATACTCCCATACGACTCTCATAATTTTTGTCTCTTCCCAAATTGGTCAACATAGAAAAATGATAAGGTATCCTATTTTCATGCCCAATATTTTCTGTGTTTTAATCTATAAACTAGGATAGCATACTTCATAGAATCATGCCATTTTTATTAGTAGTATCACCCAAAATGGTGGGATGGGATGGAGAAGGGAAGCAGTACTTAAATGCAACATGAACCAGAATTTTATAAATCTACTTTTTTTTTTTTTTTTTTTTTTGCGGTACGCGGGCCTCTTACTGTTGTGGCCTCTCCCGTAGTGGAGCACAGGCTCCGGACGCACAGGCCCAGCGGCCATGGCTCAGGGGCCCAGCCGCTCCGCGGCATGTGGGATCTTCCCGGACCGGGGCACAAACCCGTGTCCCCTGAATCGGCAGGAGGACTCTCAACCACTGCGCCACCAGGCAAGCCCTACAAATCTACTTTTTAATGAGGTCCTAACTGGAAAAATATTTAATTTATAAGATTGCAATCACATTACAACTATATGATGCTATCCACCAAGCACCTATAACATGTTAAGTATACACTTAAAGCAAACCCTAAAGATAAAAATCTGGAGATACATTTTAAAAATGCAATTTACTTCTCAAAAGTAATTTTTTTTTTACAGAAGAAATATATTTCTTTTAAGTCACTAATTACCCTAGTGAATTTAAAACTATTTAATTAAAACTTCGATTTTAAAGCAATTTTTCACAAACATATACTAAGAAAAATCTCTGGGAATGACATCCAGGAATCTAAATCTTTTAAAGCTTTCTGGATTATTCTGACAACCAATCAGGTTTCATAATCCAGGCTCTATATTATCTTCTAAGCCAAGCGACTGTGGGAATCTATACATTGCAGTGCTCCACACACACCTCTTACTGTAGTCATTTGTTCCACAATATAGTGAAGTTTTCAGACACTGTTTTTCTGAGCAGGTAACAACACAGCCATAAATATAGTATGTAAAACTCTACGAGAACAAAAACTATCTGCATTGGTGTCAGCAGCATCTAGCGTGGTAACATGTGTTTGATAAATATTAATTTTTGAATGAATAGTCAATTAAGAACCCATAGATGATGCTACTGTCTGCCAGAAAAACTGCTAAAATCAAGGAAGACACATTAGGGCCAAACATGCTTTGCTACCTCTTTAGACCTTGACAGGGACACCTTCACTATCAAACATCTTCCCTCATCAGAAACAGCATGCCTGGAAGCAGTCTTCTCAACTGTCCAACTCTAGCAAGTACCTACCTGTCTGAACAGAGTGGCACTCCTACAAATGGCAGCAAGCAGTCAAAAAGCCACAGAGCACTTTTCTCTGGTTTCTGAGTACAGTGGATACAAGAACAAACCCTTCTTTTTAATCCCCCAAAGAACCTATTTACATAACAGGCTGAATTCAATGAAGGTTTTTTAAAATAAACTAAGTCTCTGTTCAGGTGGGCAGACATCTATACAGTCCCTATCCAAATACACCTTCCCCTGCCTATTTTATTCCTAGATGAAACCAACTGTGAAAACTGAACAAAGTTCTGAATCACTCGCTATGTTCTTTTATTCTTACATGGATGTTGTAAGCTTACAACAATCTAACAATTTCATTAAGAGGTAAAGTTATTATATAGGATATGTTCTTTATTACTCAAGGGATGACCAGAGGGAGAGATTTCTTCAAGCTCTCCCCAATTAGTGGCATCTTAAAGATACTGTTAAACTGCTCATCTACAATGCATAAATTAAGATTACTATGGAAGGTAGATCAGTTTAGTTGCTAGAGGTGTAGTCTGATTATTAAGAAAGTGAACTGTAATTACTCAATTTCTGAACTCATTTCTAAGTCATAAATACACTATGGGAAAGACAGTAAAGATATATGTGAAAACTCGTAGGAAAATGATACTACATAATATCAAAATATTGGCACTATATCCAGAATTCCATGTAATAATTCCAGAACTATTCATCTAAGCAATCTCCCTTGTAATGTACTTGAAATAAAGACTGTGATGATTCTAAGTCACAAAAACATTATCTACTCTTAAGACTAAATTATGTCTACCCGAATTAACATCAATTTCTGAAAAATCAGTATCCAACATCAAATGAGGACACACAGTTTCAATATGTGACTTAAAAAGCATAATGCTATGAGATCCAAAATCAAGCCCGGTTCCATTCTTTACTCCTAATATAATAAAAAATACTACTCTACTTCAAACACTACACCTTGCACCAATACTTAATATTTTATACAACCACTGTAATGTAACTCTGAATCTCCATATGCTCCAAGGTGTTACTTAGTCACACATGAATAATAAAGAGTTATAACAATACTGCTATTTTTCTCTCTATTCACTTAAGGAGAGCTAGTATACCATTTTGGCATAAAGAAAAAGACGAGACCTATGGAAACATCTTTAATTTCTTGTCAAAAGATGTGAACATGCCAAATAAATCCTCTGTACGTGAGTTTCATGATCATATAAGTTCACTTCTGCATTTCTTAAATGTTTATTGCACCTTTTTAAATATAAGGACTTGGGAAATACAAACAGGAGTAAGACATAGCTGCCTCCATCCTTAATTACTATGAATTAACCTCAGTAAAAATCATTTCAGTCTTGATGACAAACAGCATTCTGTCCACTTCTAAGCAACATATATTTTAAGGCAATATTTGGTAATTTTTAATCACCTCTATGAATTCTTATCATTAAAAATATATGGTGAATCAACTCAAGGTTTATGTGTTGGGTTGTAAACTACTCCAGTTGGTGCCCAGGGTCAAAACAAAAAAAGGCTGTTAGACTGATGCAGGTAAATGTCCCTAGTTATTCAATGTGAGTGACCCATGATAGACCATTATATGTTCTTAAGGAATAAGCAGTACAAGAAACCTCTGACAGTAAATTGGCTTCTTTACTCAACTGGGAAAAGAGGGAGAGAGATGAATTATAAGCAATATGAAAAGAATCTGCATTTGTATTTACTGGTAACATTGCTTCACCTTATGTTTTCCTCTTCCTCAATCAGAAGTGAAAGGGATTCTTTTCCCACCTCTGTCCTCTTCTGTCTAGCTAAACCCCAGTGAGACTTTAAAAGGGATTAGAGCCTTTTAGATCTAATGGAGGTTTAGATACCAGCTTTATCTGTACCAAGACTATTAAACTAATCATACCCAAGTATAGCACGGCTTCTCTCCATAATTCAAGGCTGTACTTTTTGTTCAGGAGGTGGCAGGCCCATATTTAGGTATAAACAAAATGCTTTTATCATTCTCCTAGTTTTCATTTGTATTTATGATGCCAAGTCCCTGAAAGCCCACATTTTGGCAGGCAGGGTAGAAAGTGCTTCATTCACTTTCTGGGTCTTCAGTTACTAAGTGCACCACGTTCCACCTCTATTTTGCCTGGAAGATACTGCCTATCCTATTCAAATCCAGTTGAGAGCAAGAGTACATAACAGAGCTGGGAGACCTACCTTATCTATCTGCAGTCAACCCTTAAACAGACTGGTCCAGGTCTGTTCTTACACAGGTTCTTATACAAAAGAAAAGTAAAAACATTTACCTTTCCTATTTTTGTGTGAACCTTATGTTCACTTTCACTTTCTACTAAATTTAGTGTTTTCACTAAATTATTAACATACTTTCAACTTCAGGTTTAAAGAGCTGGGCATGTGCAAATCAAATGCCTGACTTCATATTCCCCCTATATAACAAGAACAAAGGGGAGCACAGCATTATTATGGATTCGAATCGACTACATTCTTTATCGGTACTGATGACAGCTGCAATCTTAAAAGTAGTGGGGTTTTTTCAACTAAAAAAGATCTTATTTTACCATTTTACCAAAATTAATATCCTACCATCCCGCACTGAGTTTTTTTTTTAAAATAGCCTGCGTGGCTGACAAACAGGGGGAGGGAGTTGAGGGGGGGGCGGAGCAAGGCACCACGCACAGTTCCCTTTTTAAAGTACCTCTTACCAATTCAAGGGTAACAATGGATTCAGTCTCACAGCATATTACTAAACTTCCTCTTGCTATATATCAGTTAAGAAATGAATACATACTTTAGAAAACAACAGTGAACTTATAAAGCTCAGAATGAGGACGGGGAGATGGGGGGATATTCCTTTTACAAACGTCTTCGGTGGTTAAGAGAAAATGTCCGATGATGTCATCCCTAGTTACTCCCTAGTGATGAACACTAACTACTGGCCTTTAAAAGGGGGACCATTTTTCTGCAAACTGTGGCGGCCGCCGACCTCTGCTGAAAGGTTTTCCAGCCGAAGTCAGGGAAGAAGGGGTGACTCACGGTCTTGGGCCAGAAGCAGGGGAGGGGCGCCAGACCCCAGGCCCACACCCGGGATCCCCCGCTTCGGGGCGGACGGGGAGGGCCGGCTGCACCTGCACCTCCCGCCGCCCACGGCCCAAGGCTCAGCCCTGCGTGGGGCCCCCCGGTCGACTTCCCGCCCCCCCCACCTCGTCCCAGTCCCCGGAGGAAAAGACAATACATTTTAACGCCATTGGAGCTGCTGCTGTGCTGCGGCGGTTGCTTCTCCTGCTCGGGCGGGTGAGGTTCTCGCCGGGGCTCGCCCGGCGGCTCCGCGGGCTGCCGATGCGGGCTGTCGTTGCCAGCTGCCCTAAGCACCTCGGGCTTGTCGGCGTCGGCCATCCCGCCGCCACGGCCTCCGCCTGCGCCGCCTGCGTTGAGGGGCTCCGAGCGCCACAATGGCGGCGGCTGGGAAAGCGGTAACGGATCCCGATTTGAAAAGGCCCCGAGCGCTCAGTTGCCCGGATCTCGCGAGAACCGGTCGGGGCTTGGAGACTGGGAGATGGTGTGAGCTGATGGGGGGGGGGGGAAGGGGGGGGAGGGGAGGGGAGGGGAGGGGAGGGATGGGATGGGGTGGCGGGCCATGACCGACGCGGCCGCAATCGGCCCTGCTTCAGCCCGGGGAGGGCTTGATTTGTCCAGAAGCCCCTGGTGGGGCCGTGTTCTCACCACCAGCCCCATCTGTCGTTTGGCACCCAATGGGGTCTTCGCTTAAAAAAGTCGGCTCTGGGTGTTTGAAATCCCTAGAGTTCTCAAACCCAGACTATTCTAACCATTCCGTGTAGGGGCAGTTTAAATTAGAGTAGCACACACAGCTTTGCATCTTTAAAAACGTCTTCAAATCTTCGGACTTCCCTTAGAAATCCTTTGAATCATGCAAATAAATCACTTGCCACTTCAATGCCTATGCACCCTGTGGACATTCAATAAATAGTTATTGATGACAGGTTGCAATTCACCAAATGAATGGCTTTGAATTTCTTTGAGTTCAGGTTGTTCTTGAGAATGACGCCATGAGCTTACAAAAAGACTAAAGTTTTTAATTCTCCAAGTAGCAATCAATGAGGAGAAACTATACTTTTCATAAGAAATCTTCTACTAGATTGGCCAATAATGGACATTTTGGTTTGGGGTTGTGTTTATTATATACTGATGGAAATTATATTTGAAGCAGTTATAGGTTCTCAAACAAATTTAATTACCGTATGGAATTTTAAAATATAGTCATAGAGTTTTTCCTCTAAGTATGAAAAAGAAACCCATTAAACTTAATTCCTAACTTGGGAGTACTATAATAATATTTCATGTTGAAATAAACGTTTTCAGCTGAAAAGTTCAAAGACTTTACCAAATCTTTCTTTTCATAAAGAGACAAACATGTATGATTTACATGCTTTGCAGAATATCATGCACACATTAGCAGTAAAGCTGTATTAGAAACTAACACTCAGGTAATACATAATTTCTTCACTTTCCCCCATTCTTTGACATTTCAATGTGTAGGTTTTTTCCCTGGACTAAAAAATGCCATAAAACATCCAACACTATGCCAGAAGAGTTGAGCTACTTCATCAAACACACACACGTAAGAATCAGGACAATTTTAATCATGATGAGTACAATTGGTAAAATACTGCTGTTTAGGGTGCTACTGACATTGTTTCATACATACAACACAGGCTATTATAGTTGCTGAATGAATTGTTTCTCCTCAGTCAATCCCCTAAGATTTAGCATTCCGAGTACAGAAAGGGCATTGGATTTTGACACAAAAAACCTGGGTTAGAACCCCAGCTCTGACACTTTTTGCCTGTAACTCCTTGGGCAAATCACTTAACTTCTCAATCTTTCCATAATAAATAAGGATAATAATACCTACTTAGCAAGATTAAGATGAGGATTAAAAGAAAACACTTTATGTAGGGCAGAGTGTTATATGAATATAAAGTAGTATTACAATTCCCTTTCTCCAGGCTGAGCAGGGTTTTAGTCAAAGAGAAGTCAGGTGATATTCATAGAACTGAATTGTAGGTACTTTGAAAACATTCATCACTCGTTATTCTTTGGCTATTGTTGAATTGAGATAAAAACTTAACCCTGCAGTCTCTAATATAGTATATTCTTGCAAAATCCTTCAGTAGATTCAATTTAATATTTTTAGGAGGTCTTTATGCTTAAAATAGAGTAGTAGGCACATGAGGAATACAAAAATGAGTACAGCCTATTCTGTTGGGAGAGAACATTTATAAAAAGCACTGTTTGAGTGCTGTAATAGAGATAAATGTGAAGTGTAATTAAAAATTTATTTAGAAAAAGAGGAAACTGGCTTGCATGCTGTAGTGTGGTAATTAAAATATTTCATTAAAATATTTATCTTGATTACTGAGCTTTCTGGCACCCCTTAAATGGTGTGCCTAAGACAAACACCTCCCTCACTGTACTTTGGCCCTAGTCCTGATAGATGCATAAACAGCAGAGGTTAATTTCTATAGGCGGGCCGTGAGAACTTCATAGAAGAGCTGAATCTCAAAAGATGGAGAGAATTGGGGCAGCTTCTGAAGAGAAAATGATTAATACCTACTATTCCGTCTGAGGGCTCTGTAGACTGATCTCGCCTCCCTCGCTTGCTATTAATATTGTACTTTCCTTAAACCTGAAAAAAAGAAAAAAAGAAAAAATTTACTAACATCCTATTGCTACATTCCATTTCTATATTTTCCTTCCTTCCTTATTTACTTTTTTTTAGTCCATATACACATACTGAAAAATCCTCGAGTTAATGCTTTTAGCTTTTATCTTCTCACAATTCCTACTGCAAAATCTTTCCTTTGCAATTGCACAAAATGTATTACCGATACAACCTCACATAGTTTTATCTCACAAATTGAAATGTGTGTGTTTACAGTTGTTTGTAATAGAGTAGCAGAAGGAAGGCGGAAAGGAGAGAGAGGGAGAACCATTATACATATCTGGAAACTTAACCCTAAAATTCCAAAATATTTTCAAATAATACTTTAATATGTGTATCATTTAGGAATTGTGTTCACCTGCTGGTAACAGAGCCTAGAAATAACAGTGTCTTAAACAAGATAGAACTTATTACCCTTTTAAGTAAAAACAGTGCAGAGGGAGGCATTCCAGAGCAGATACAGTAGCTCCACAATGACCATGAACTCAGGTTTCTACTATCTTAACCTTTCACCATCCTAGTGTGTGGCTAACATTTTTAAGGTCACCCTATGGCCCAAGATGGCTACAGGAGATCTAGGCATCTTGTCACGTTGGAGACCAGAAGCAGTTCAGAAAGGAAGAATTCTATCCAGAAATCTCACCCAACACTTCGACTCACGGGTTAGAACTTGGTGACACGACACACCCAGCTGTAAGGGAGGTGGGCAAATAATTTTTCAGCTGGGCTCACTGCCTAGGGTTCTGCTACCAAAGAAGAGAATAGAGTAGCAACTAGCATCCTTTTAATTTGCCTTAAAGAACTGAAGGCAAAGACCAATAATATGAAGTCAAAGAAAAAGTATGCTATGATTTTTAAGTCAGTTTACTTGGCTTTACAAAATGAAATGGCTGGATTTGAAGCCACTGTTTCCAAACTTTAGAGAATTGGAACTTAGAAAGGAGTTTATAACTTTAAAAAATACAACAGGTTATACTGAAATCCATATACAATTTACCTTTTCACCATAGAATTCTATGGTGAAAAAGTGGATGTTGGTTATTGTCACTGGAAAGAACAGGTCTATTCTGACAATTAACTACTTATTGTCTCTCTCTTCCTTTCTCTCCCTTTCTCTCTCTCCTTCTCCCTCCTTCTATTACTCTGCTTAACTTAGGAGTCTATTTTTTAGCATTTACCATTCGAAAATTACATACTGAAGAAAGTTCTCTACTAGCCAAGAGAAGTTTAGAATTAAGCAATTATCTGAATAATCCAGGCAGAAATTCCACTTTCACCTCAATTATTCAAATAATTCAGATAATACCAAGAGTTTTGCTTGAATTCCTTAGATAATTGTTTCATTTTTCCACTTTACAATGCTAGGGTCATTGCCCATTAACAGATTTACTATTGATTTTTGTAAGCAATATTGGGACAGTTTTTTTCTTTGGAGACTAAAGACTGCTGTAATTCCTGGTAACTTACTTGAGTCTCAATTTTTATTCACGTTCTAATTTCTTAACTTAAATCACCCTGCCTTTTCCTCAATCTCACCCCAGTAACTCCATTAAAAGGAAGATCAGAAGAGCAAATTTCCAACAGCTCTGCCCTACCTCCCTTCCTATAGGCATAGTTACTCCCTCCTCTTGAGTAATTCCATGAATTAGGCTTCATTTGCCCAAAGCCATGGATATTGTATGGTAATATTTGTAACTATTCCAAATTTGGTATCCTAACTCAAAGAGTATTAATGAAAATGGTTACTTTATAGCAAATATTGTTTTTAACTTAAATAATTGCCCCTTTTAGCAATATCATTCTCAATTTTCAATGACAACATTTAGAAGGGAAAATACATTTCTTGGAGTGTTGAATAATAAAGTTCAATCCACACACTGTCCTGCATATTTGAATATAATCCTATAAATGGTGATGATAGACTTCATAACTAACATAATCCAATTCTTCTTTTGATTTGATAACAGAAATTTATTTTAGATGACTGTGAATACTGCCAAAAGTCCACATTTCCTAGCCTCACTTGCCACTGTGCATGGCCACGTGACTATGTTCTGGCCATTAAGGTATGAGCAGAAATGTTGTGAGGACTGAGTAGGAGGTTCCTTAGAAGGAACTGACTTAACTGGAAGAATGGCCCCTTTGTTCTCTCTTGCTTCCTTCTGCTGCTGGCTTGGAATGGAGAAATGATGTCTGCACCAATAGCAACCGTGATGGACCATGAAATGACCTTATGACTGAAAGCTAAGTACTGAGGATGGCAGAACAGGAAAATAGAATTAGGGTCTCCGATGACACCATGAAGCCACAGTAGCAACGCTCACATTCCTACCTCAAACTTGTTTCCAACAGGAGGAAAATTTCTATCCTGATTAATTTGCTACTATTTGGAGTCTTTCTATTATGCACAGTTGAACTTAATCCTGATGGTCATAATTTTTTATTGTAATAACCAATTTGCTTGAATAGTTTCCTCTACAGTGTGGTCACACAAATACTGCTTTAAACTTATTTTCTCTGAGGACATCATTTACATTTATTTTTATTTGTTCCTTTCCTGTATGCTGTAGAACACTACAAGTTTCCTGCCTGATATCCATTCTCCCTTTTTCTTCTTACTGACAGAATCCCAATTTTGTCTAGTAGCAATATGCCCAGCTAAAATACTGGGAGTGGCCATAGGACACAACTCTATCTAAGAAGTTGTAAGGATAAATACACTTGGATTCTAGAAGGATCTTTCCTAATAAGTTCTTTGCATTCC